CAGATGTTGAGACAATATGACATGCATAATTCTGCATAGGCAGGGTATTCTTTTTATTTAAACATTTAAATTGTAACATCTCTAATCCTAATATTATAGACAGATAAGTTATTTAGTAATTCTACAGGAGGTCAAACAGGGCTATGCACTTGAAGAAGTCAGTTTTGTATTTTATAATCAGAAACTAGATATACTAAAAATAGAAAACAAATGCTTATTCTGACTCAGAGCTAACATTTACAATATGTTCTATTACAGAGAGTTACAACATTAATGGATCTGACTCACTGGCTGTGTCCTGAAGCTCCAGACAGTGTGGCAGGAAGCAACAGAGCAGCCATGGGGGACAGGTCCAGAAACAGAAAGATAGGGTGAAAGAAAGGGGCTAGAGCTTTCCATCATGGGCAACTTGGGACACCACTCCAAGAGGAAGACTCCTAAGAAACACTGTGAAAGACACAGGAAGTGGAAACAGATGTGACAAAGAAAGACTGACAAGGCAAACTGAGGTAGAAAAGTACTACATCCAAATACAGAAACAGGGTTTTTATAGGGAAGCAGGAATTGTCTTCATCTACTGCTTAGTTACAAAAAGGTTCAGCTTGTACAACATCTTGGAGAAATCCAACATCTTGAGGAAGGGAGCCTGAAATCATCAGAGGAAGGCCACTGAAACAGGCATCTAATTCTTCTACATTCCCCAAACAAAATAGGAATGTAAATGATATGTTTGCAAAACATGGTACCAAAGATACTGAAAGACAAAAGTATGACAAAGTACTGATAAATCCTGAGAAAAGTTAAAAATTAAGAGGGTGTACTAGTTAGACCCCAATTTGAATGCAGAGTCTTGTCACTAGGCATTTTGTGAGTGGCAGCAACAGCAAATGGCAACACATTTAAGAAAAATAAACTAGCACTCATTTATTCTCCCCCAATCACCCAGACATTTTGTTCCCGGGGTATCCTGATCAGTTCCACACCACTCATCATCACTGACTCACCAAGAAACACTCATCAGGAGCACCTCCCCACGTGGGCTGAAGTCAGTGGTGGAGCCTTAAGAACTACCACATGTGTAGGCAGTTTCTGAAAGTGGGAAAGGGGTTCCTGTGAAAGGAGAGCAGAACGTGCTGACTTAGCCAGAGGGCAACCTGCACTGTGTGTATCAGAAAGCAGAACACAAAACCAGTGCATAACCATTGGCTATATGGATACAAAAGTATCCATATATTATCACGGCATAGTTCAAATAAAACTCAAATCAATGCAAAAGAGCAGATTATGCTGTGTTGTTTGATGTCTGATAGTATGGACAACTATTGTGAAGATGGACAACTATTGTGAAGACAGCAAGATATATTATGGTAGCCATTGTTGATTTCCTATTATCCTGTTTTGAACTTCTATACCACTTTCATTGTTTGTTTTGATTGGCTTTATTCTGTTTTGTTTTGTTGCATTCTATTCTCTTTAATATATATGGCAATAACCTGAGGCGAGTTCTGTCCCTAGCAGTTTGTACCTCACTCAGTAAAAAACTCAAGACCTCAGGCCTTACCACAGCGTTGGCACGAAGAAGAAATTTGTGAATATTTGCTGAGTAAACAGAGCCCAAAGGATGGGACTTCAGGAAGTGGAAGCTGAAGGCATTATGACAATGATGGCATTTATTCCCTCAACGTTTTGCCAGTTTCACAGTGCACAATTGAGAGTCCAATAAGCTGGTGACTCCCAAGGGAGTCTGGAATACGGCTGCCATCTGACAACTAGCCAGCTGGGGGCAGGCTGGTCTCAAGGACAGAGCTTCAGGAGCCTAAGCTTGGCTCCCTCATCCAGCAAGCCAGAGTTGGAACATTTCTCATTGCAAGGAGGCTGAGACAATACCTACTCCAGTTCTTTTTTTGCATAAATGGAGAAACTGAGGCCCCAACAGGGGAAAGAGCTTGCTCGATCTCACACAGAACGTTAGGAGACCTTTATTCTCTGGGCCAAGTCTTGTGCTGCCTCCTGGTGTTAGTCATCTTGGGATCAACCCTTAATAAAGGTCAAAAGATCTTATCAGCAACATGGGTCATCTTAAGAGCCCCTCCCTGATTTAACTGTATATACACAATGTGTACCGCTATTTCCTAGAGATGTCACTTTCAGAAATGTGTCCCAGATATACATGAAGATATTCATTGTGGTTAAAAAAAATCAATGGCAAAAGAAACCACAAATTCCAATGTAAATTATTGGAATTTAAGCAGTGCACTACTTTGTTCAGTGAGTCACAGAAGAAATTAAAGTTTCTGAAATCAAACAATAATTACCGTAGAACACATCAGAATTTTTCAGATTAAGAGAAATTACATCTAAAAGGGAAGAGGAATACTGTGAATGCCTACATGAAGAAACAGAGTGATGCAGAACAACCTAATGATGAAACTCAAGTCCTATACATCAATCAACCCAAATACAAAGCTGGTGCAAGGAAAGAATTTATAAAGATCAGAGCAGAAATAAATGAACGAATGAAGTTGGCAGTAAAAAAATCATTAAAAAGTGAATTCAGTGGAAAACTGGTTCCTTGAATGGATAAAGAAAATAGACAGTTGTGCCACCAAGCTTAGCAAAAAAGGAAAGATAATAGCATATTAGTGTAATCAGAAAAAAATATGAAATAATAGGCATTCTTGAAATCTACAGAAGTATAATTACTTAAAAATATGTACTATATTAATTATAGAAGAAACCTACAGATTAAGACATAGATAAATTAACAAAATGGATTACAGAATAAAAATGTGGAATAGTCCAGTAATAGAGAAGGAAATTGAAAACTTAATAAAAAAAAAAAACCTACCATCTAAGAAAATCCCCAGATCCAATGTGTTTACAACTGAATTCTCCGAGAACTCTAGAGATTGCCCATCAGAACGCCTCAAAGTCTTTACTGAACTTGAAAGAGTAGCATGGCCACTCCTTACTTGAAGTTAAAATCACTCTAATACCAAAACTATATAAAGATATTAAAAAATGCAAAAGATATAGGTCAAGCACTCCAATGAACAGTTTCAATTATTTTCAATGGTATACCATCAAACCGAATGTGACAAATTGTCAAAAAGTTCATACATCATGATCAAATTTTCTTTTTCAGGGATATGAGGAAGAATCAATAGATGCAGACTAATGAATACTACATATCATGTAAGTAAAGCAAGGACAAAATTCACATTATCACCGTAGTATTACCCTGCTGGGTCACTGAGGCTCTTGTTGCCTTGACTTGGCTGCCATGTGCACCCACATCAGTGCCTCGCAGTCCCACAACCTTGGGCTGGCCTGTGCACCCCCTCTGGGGCCTTGTAGGATCACTGTGGTTTCCTCCTGGGTGGGGCTGGCCCTTGTCAAACTCCAGTGCCTTGCTGGATGACTCTGTAACTCTATTTTGGTTGCATGCTTTTCTGATTTTGAAATGATTGCTTTCAGGAATGACTTTGCTAATTATTTCCCTAAGTTTTAAAAAAAGTTTGAATAATATTGGGGTTAGATCTTTTCTAAAGTTCTCATATAATCCCATAGTGAATATGCCAGAACTCAAATTTTCTAAGTTGGTAGTTATAAAAATTTCTCCTTTAATGTCATTTACTGATATTAAGGATTTATATTTTCAAAGTTCAGTTTTGATGTGAAATGTATTTAGTAATCTAATCATAAGTGTAATGGTACAAAAGTAATTTCATAAAAATAACTTTCTGAAAACCAATAAAACACCACGGTAACACTATTAAAGATATGTGAGTTTGTGGACAAGAGAATGCAAGAAAAAAAACGTGCTATGAGAACGGCGAGAAATGCAGCAAAATATTATATAGGTGGCATTAGAGGGATGTTTATAGAATTCAGAAAATTAACAGGAAGAAAATCAGGAGAATTAGATGATTAAAAAGGGAGAAAAGAGAAATTATGTGCAGAATAAAATAAGAAAAATATTAATGTCTGGAAAACTGAAAGGGAGAAATGACTAAAGAAAAACAATTGTGAAAAACTGGAGCTGCAGATCAATGGTGCAGTGTTTACATGGCGACTTGGATGCCCTGCGTTGCACTGCCAGCAACAAAATCAAACAACAGCAACAAAAAAATAAAACAAAGAGAAAAAGGAGATAGAAAAAAAAGTGAGTGTTTTTAATGTTAAACTAGTTCATCATTTATAGTGTGTGAAAAGATTCATCTAAAATTCCATTACATGTTGAGAAAAAAATATGGTTCTTCTGGACTTGGAAACTCACAGAAGTTCATTTTGTTTAGTGGGATGACTGGCAGAAAAAACTACCCTCAAATTATATGGCAATTAATAAAGTTAATAAAATTTCATGAGGTAAACAATGCACGAAGTTGTATACATATGAAGATAATGACTTTGATATCAAATGAAACAGGCACAATGCTGTGTATTACCTGCAATGACACTGGGAAATACAGAGATATCATCTTTGAACATGGAAAACATATGCATTAATCTACAACTTGGTTGAAAACAGTTAAACATGTAGAAAATAATGAAAAACACATCATATCCATAAAGCAGTAGAAAATCCAAATTCTTTTAGAACAACAGACTAGATGCACAGTTTCAATGGAATGTAGTGCAAAATGAGAAAAATTTACAAAAGTTCAGTTCTAGGTTCATATTATCTCACAATTACTACAAACAAAAAACAAAGAAAATGAAAAGAACTGCAAAACTTCTAAGCCTCCTAGCATGTGACATATCTAAACTCACTTGTAGCGGTGATTATAAAAAATAAATTATGACTGGATTTGAGTAAAGCCAATACTAGCCTAACTCATTATTGCTTACAATACCATATACATTTATGAAAGTGCAATGTGTATTCTCATAAATTAACTTACAAATATCTACTCCAGAGATCTACAAGTGAGTTTACTGTATTTATATCTTCTCTGGTACCATATTTCATAAAAAAATAGACTACATTTTTACATGACTTACTTTTTACATGATTTATTTGAATATATTTGCACTATATAAGAAATGTTCAAAAAATTTTCAAACTCTGAAGAATAACTGAGAACATTGTACATCCACAGGAATTTAATCCAATGTGCCTTGTTACGACAAATGAAGACTTGTGTGTGTCTCTCTTAATGCTTTCTCACAGAACTGTGTTTACGTGTAATATGAAAGAAACCAAGATGACAAGAGATACCCCCAAAAAACATACTTTGATATGCATTTCTCCATTATGAACTGCCACATTTACAAGCAAGGTCACATGAAAATGGAGACAACTCTCCCTGTGTGCACACATTTTTGGTTTTGGTTTCTGTATTCACATAGGGATTCTGTTTAGTATGAATTTCATCTATTTCAAAGTAAGTGGAAAAATCTAATGGTTTGACACATTAATTGCATACCTGTGCTTTGCTCATGAGAATTTTTCATATATTTGAATGCATTCAGAAACGTTAACCCTTTCCCATATTGCTCACATGTTTAGATTCTCTTCATTAATTACTCCTTCATTTAGATAGTAATTTACCTATGTACTGAAAGTCTCATTAAATTGCTTACATAGAAGACTTCTCTCTACTGTCTTTTAATGTTTGGGTAAGTTATATCTTCACATATAATTTTCCTTTATGTTTTTAAGCCTGTGATGATTACTACATTACTGAAGACTTTCATCTGTTGTTTCTTTCACAAATTTCACAATACGTGTACACAGTTTATGCATTTTAAAATTATTTAATTACATAAGCTTAGTACTCTGGGAGAACTTTCACATCAATGGAAATGACTGTCTCTTGAGAGCACTTGCACATTGCTTATGTACATAGTGTTTCTCCCCAGAGTGAATACTCGCGTGTTTTGACAATGAATGTTTTTGTTGAAAATGTTCCCACATTCTTTACATTGACAGTTTTTACCCACTGTGAGTACGTTTATGTGTTTAAAATGGTTGTGTTTGGTGAAGGTTTCCCAACAGAAGTTACGTACTTAGCGTTTCTCCTCAATGTGCATTCTTTCATGATTTTTACAATGACTCTGTAAGCCAAATGCTTTCAGAAGGCTTTCATACATTGCTTACATACATAGAGTTTCTTCACAAGGTCAGTTTTTTTGCATTTCCAAAATGAAATGTTATTGCTGAGTACTACCCCACACTGTTAACCCACACAGTGATTTTCTATAGTGTTAGCTCTTTCGTGTATCTCAATATCATGCTGAGAGTTAAAACTTTTTTCATATTGTACACATTCACAGGCATTCACTTTACTGGATTTCTTTCCCCTATTTGAGAATAGTTGGCTGTACTGAAGGCTTCCATATCTTGCTCCAGTACAAAGAACTCCTCTTCAGTACTGCTTCCTTCAGGAAGATCAGAGTACGATTTTAAACTTTGCTTACATCCATGGGGTTTCTCTTCAGGGTTTTTGTTTGCATGCTTGTGAATGCAGTGGATGTCAGTGCAGGTATTTCCATCTTCAAATCCCTGATACTCACATGATTTGAGTGTGGTGTTGACTGTGATGGGAACTTCTGGTAATGATTTACCAATTAAAGATTTTTTGCAAGCAAACCTTTCACTTGATTTTGTACCTGTTGGTTTCAAGTTCATATTAATATCAGGAGTCCAAAATTTCATTTCTTCATGCTGACTATTTAATTTATATTGTAAGCATTTCTTTATTTTTTCTTTTCTATAAAAGAAAAATAAGAGAATACAATCAGTCACATTTAAAATTCATTTTATTAGCTGGGCATAGTGGCACCTGTAATCCCTGTACTCAGGATGGGGAAGCAGGAGAATCATTATGAGTTTGAGACCAGCCTGGGTTACAGAGTGAGCCAGAGCCAGCCTGAACTGCATGGTGAGACTCTGTCTCAAAAAAAATTTTTTTTAAATTCATTTTATTAGTGATTTACCTTGAGGAAATCAGGTATCTTGCCTTCCAAGAAGATATCTTATCATGAATTTATGAGTTACATAAAGGCCTTGTTTATTATTTTTTATTTTAAGAGAGTCTTAATAAGCATTGTTACCCAGGCTGAGTATGAATGTATGTCTTTCCTATAACAGAGTCACACAATGTTAAAATTCAGAAGATGTTAACATCATGGTAAGATTCCTCAATTACCATAATGTATAGAGGATGAGCATGTAGGTAGGATGTTTCTTGAGCTTAGGTATTATACATTGTGCTGCTACAAAATGGGCATGTATGTATTATCATACTATGATTACTTTAGCCTTGAGAGGATGACCAAAGGAGACGTATAGCTGTCTATTTTTTTATAGACATCATCTTATTATGCAGTCGAAACTATCACTGACTCAGTATATAGCCCAGGTGGACTGCTACCTCATGACAATACTCTTAAATCAAGTCTTGAGTGCTAAGAAAGTAGGTATGTACCACTATGCCATACAAAACTGAATCTCTTTTCACCCTTTTCAAAAATTTCTATACATATTTTCAAAAATATTATACTTTATGAGCTTTCCAACAAGAATATGGGATGGTATATCATAATATTTTGGAACATGAATGGACTGAATGGTGTGGAGAATTTTCTAAAAACAACTATTACCAAAATAATGGCATTGATTTAATATTTGAATACTGCCACTTGATTAACAACTAGGCAAATAGTCGATGTGTTTACCCTCTTTCAAATACAAATAGCATTGCTTACATAATTTGTTTCACTTGAACATGGTCTTTTCAACATGTTCATATGTATGTAGATAGTTGCATATACTGAACTTGAATGTTGGACCAAACAGAAAGTAGGTTTAATATAAAGTTATATAGGTTCAATATTTCAGTACAATTTCATACAATATTTTTTATAATCTTCAGCATGGAAAATAATTTCACTAGTTAACGTCACTTGTAGTACAATGTCAGTGTACTCTAAGATTCAGACATTGCTATATTTCAAGTACTAAATTTTCAGAGTACAGATATTCAGCATGAACACATCTATAGAGAAATATCATGAGATTTAAGGAATTTGAACATGACCTCTCAAGTATAATATGGTTGGTTTTACTATTTCTGCTCACGCCCTGATTCTTCAAGAACATACACATTTTCAAAGTCAAAATTACCTTGAATTTCTCCTGCAGTTATAGTATTCATGTTCAATTTGTCGTTCATCATAATTTTTTCCTAAAGTATACAAACAAATAAAATGATAACTATATTTCATAAAAAAGTAATAGATGTTTGTTAGACTCATAGTACAATGTAATCATACCTGAAAGATACATTAAAATTTCACTATTTACAATTAAGAACACTGCAATGACATGCAACATCCTATCCATTCAATACCATAAAGAAAATGATACTTTCCTTACCTACAGCAGCCATGTTCCTAAGGTTTTCCTCATCACATCTCTGGAAAGCTTCTTCTGAGAAGGATCCAGCATAGCCCACTCCTCCAAGGTGAAGTTTACAGCTACATCCTCAAAATTCACTGTCTCTTAAATCATCAGATACAGTGAAGAGGAAGATTGAGACTCATGATACCATGAACTCACAAAAACCTGAAGTGAGAACATGACACCTTAGCCAAGGTTGGGTGGCACATGCAGCCCCAGCTCAGCTGAGAACCATGGCCAAGCACAAAGGCCCAAGCAGGGGCATACATGCTTGCCCAGCCCAGGCAGAAAACCTGGCAAGTCCTTAGCACGTGCACAGATGATGAGAAGATGGAACCAGTTACATGTGAAATTTGTAGCAGTATGCTTCGACAGACCGACCCATGGAATACAAGTGTGCAGGTGGGGCTGCCATTATTTATCTAAGAGTGCAGGAGAATCCCAACAACAGAAGACCAGTCTGAGCCCCCACCTTCAGAGGTCAAGCCTCATATCAGTTACAAATCCCACAGTAAGCCTGCCTGTAGTGCAAAACATTTCTGAAATCTGACTTGGGCCTACTATAACAAATGAACACACCAAAGGAAGTTTACTACATTCATTTTTTGTTTGTTTGATTGATTTTTCTTCTTCCATTCAGTTGTTGGTATTTTGTTTTGTTTTCTGTTGTTTTGTCTTGTTTACTTTTTAGTGGATATTTTTCTTTTGTTTTTCCACTTCATTCTTTCTTTTATTTTTTTTTTCCTTTCATGACTTAAGATTTAACTTTCTTTTTGTTATCTTCTACTCATCATAAAAATCTCTCTGCTTGCTCAACTATTTTGAAGGAAAGAGACATTATGGTAGCTACTGTTGATGCCCAGTTTTCTTGTTGTGAAGTGCTGTGTTGCTTGCATTGTTCTGTTTGATTTGCATTGTTCTGTTCTCTTTAAAATAAAAAAAATTTTTTTTTTTTAAATCTCTCTGCTAAGAGGAAAGTCATCTCATCCAAGGTCCTGGTATGTATAGGGTTGTGTTACATAACTGTAGAATTTGCTCTAATGATTTAAGTGTATCAGGTTAACAGGTACTATAGCAAATCATACTTTGTTTGAGACTATTGTAATTGATAACTGTACTACTTTAGCCAGTATGCTACTGTCATAATCAGTTTTACTCCCTCATAAAAAGACACTGTGATTGTATGGAGTAATAACAATCACCATAGTCCAGTACTAAAGGATTGGGTACTGAGTCAAATGCATAGACTTCTCATCCTTAATACATTAGGCAGATACAATCTCAGGATAAACACAAAGATCAGGAACTACATACATAAAGAAGACATCCCTGAAGAACAGTCACTTCCTAGGAATCCCTCTACAGTAGGGATAAAGCTATGTTTCATAAGAAATGTACAAGAATCAACACACACACACACACACACACACACACACACACACACACAGAACAAAACAGAAAATGAAAATATGCAGAAGCAAAATGCAACCTAAGACCCCCCCCAGTCCAAATAGGACAAGTCCAGAGCAAAATGGCACAGGGGAAATCAGAAGTTAACCACTGGAACTTTCTGAGAGGAGAGCAATATAATTGAGAACATAAATGGAAGATGATAAAGAGAAAATAATCTCTAAATTGCAAAAGGAAATGTTGGCCTGGGGATTTATCTCAGGGGCATAAAGCACCTGCCTTGCAAGCAGGCGGTCGTGAGTTTGATCCTCAGTACCGAAGGAGGCGGGGGGGGGGGAGAAATGATGATTAAAATGAAGACATTAAACCAGACACAGATAAAAAAAATTAGATGAGCTCAGGAAAACGACAGAACCCATGCATGCCCAACATAGAAAAGAAATGGAATGTATGAGACAGATTCAAAGACAAATCCAGGAGATTAAAAACTCCACTGAAAATATGTGCAATGAATTGAGTGAAGGTGAGAATGAAGGTGAGGATAGACTATCAGATCTAGAAGATAGGATTCAGTTACAATCATAAGAAAGGTATCTTAAAAATAATGAGATATGAAAAATCAATCCACCAGCCACAAGGCGCAAGAAACTGCACACGGTAAGAAATCTGTAGACAGCACAAAAGTCATTAAAAAGCCTCTTCACAGAAATAATGGCAGAAAATTTCAAACTTGGATAAGGAACCTGACATATGAGTAAAAAATACATATATAACTTCAAATAGCCATGATGAAAATAAATTCACATAAAGGCATATAATAATCAAGATTCTAGGATTTCAGTACAAGAAAATGGATCGAGGAAAGGCACAAAACACCTGTAAGGAAAGTCGATGAGAAGCACAGCAGGCTCCCTAACACAAACTCTCAGATCAAAGACAGCTGGCAGTGAGGTATCTGAATCCCTAAAAAAAAAGATCCTATAACTAAGATTGACTTACACTGCAAAACTATCTTTCAAGATCAATAGAGAAATAAGATACTGCCACGACAAGGAAAAGTGCAATGAGATTAGAAATCAAGGGGAAAAGAAAGTCACTACATACTTGATAAGAGAAAACAATGAGACAGTGAAAATCATAAATATATATGTGCCCAATATGTGTGCACTCAAATACATAAAACAAATCCTAACAAACATGAAAAATCAAAGAAATACTAAAACAATTGTAATGGGGAAACTTAATATCCCACTCTCACAAATAGATAACTAGACAAAGAATCAACAAACAAATATCAAAATTAAACCAAACCAGTGAACAAATGGATTCAGTTGGTATCCACACAGTGTTTCACCCTGTAACATCAGAATACACATACTTTTCAGCTGCACATGGGATATCCTCCAAATTAGAACACATGAGTTCATGAAACATGATTAAGCAGTGCAGAGGAATTAAAATCATCCCATGCATGTTATCTGACCATAATGCAATGAAGTTGGAAATCATCAGCAAGAAAAAATGCAAAAAATACATAAATACATGGAGATTAAACAAGGTCCTCCAGAACAAATAAATGGATCACAGAGGAAATTAAAGAAGATATTAAACAGTATGTTAATTAAACAATAATACTGATACAACATACTGGAAATTATGGAATGCAATGAAAGCAGTCTGTGAGGAAAAAAAATTTTTAATTTTTTTATTTAAAGAGAACAAAACCAAACAAAACAGTAAAAGGGTAAAAGTAATACAGAATTTCAAAAAAAATAAACTGTAAGAAATCACTAGTTAATAGATTACACATTGTCATCTTAGAAATAGTTGTTCAAATTACAAAATTAAAGCATATAAAGTGGACATTCAAACAATGAGATTGCAAACAGTTGTGTTCAATGATCCAATAAAAATTTAGTAATATGGTCATCTATCTTACATACCTAAACACACTTGCAATTGTGTCCTTTAGAGCACTTTCTTTTCCTCTCTTTTTTACAATAACATTTACACATTTGGGGTTTTATTACTCCCACAGTTCTTATTACTTTTTTTGAAAAGAATAAAACCAAATGTGACAAAACCAAAATGGAGTCAGTCAAAACAAAAGGATGGACATAGTACATGATGTAAAAACAGAATACCAAGTGATCAACAATGGTTACCATAATGCCTCTTGCTATCTTAAAAATTGTTGCCTGTATCATCAGGTACAATAAAATTGAACAAAACAGTACAGAACAAAACTAATAAAACCTAAACATTGGAGACCTTACAGGACTTCAAAAGAAGATAATAGTCAAACCAGAATGGGCATCATAGTGAATCTTATTGCCTTCAAAGTAGTTGCCTATACCCTCGAACTTGATTCTATCAAACAAAACAGAATAGAGTAAAATCAGTTAAAACAAGATGGTGCGAGCAATACAGGGGTTCAAATAAAGTTAATAGGAAAACAAAAAAGTTGCTATAATATATCCTGCTATCTTTTAATTTATAGCAATGAATTCTCACATTAGCAAAACAGAACAAGCTCAAATAAATAACATAATGTTGAACCTCAAACTTGTAGTAAAAACACAAATCAAAGCCAAAACTCATAGGAAAGAGGAAATTATAAAATGACAGCAAATACTGATGTAAAGACTGAAAAAAAATCAATGAAGTTAATCAAAGAGTTAACTAAGTTGATAACCCCTTATCCTACCTCATAAAAACAGAAAAGACTCTATCAATTAGCAATCAATGGGCTGGAGATTTAGCTCAGTGGCATAAGCACCTGCCTTGCAAGCAGGCAGTCGTGAGTTCGATCCCCGGTACCGATAAAAAGGAAAAAGACAAAAAAAAAAAAAAAAAAAAAAACCAAAAAAACAAAAACTAAAATTAGAAATCAAAAGGGGAAAATCACAGTGCTTCCTGCAGAAATCCAGATCAATATTAACTCAAAAACCCGTAGTAGTATAAGATGTAAAACACAAAAGAAACAGACAGATAGATACCTAGAACCACATGAATTCCCAAAACCGATTCAAAAAGATACAAAAATTTGAAATAACTCACATCAGTCAATAAAATTAAAATGAAATTTAAAATTTACCAACAATGAAAAGGACAAGCCCTAATGGATTCACAGTTGATTTTAATAAAAACTTTAGAGAAAAACTAATGCCACTAATGCTGACACTTTTTCAGGAAACTGAAAGTGAAGTAACACTTCCAAATTCATCCCTGGAAGAAAGTATTACCCTGATACCAAAACCAGATAAGGATGAAACCAAAAAAGGAAACCACAAGCCAATGTCCTTAATGAACATAAAAGCAAAAAGTTCTCAATAAGATATTGGCAGAATGCAACAAATCATCAAGAAGATTACACACTATGTTAAACTAGGGATTATCCCAGGTATTCAAGGGTGGCTCAACAAACAATTCATAAGTGTGATACACAATTATTAAAATGGACAAAGACAAAAAAGTTCACATGATCATCTCAATAGATGCAGAAAAACATTTGACAAAATCCAACATACACTTATGATAAAAACCCTGCTGAAAACTGGAATAGATTTTCTTTATCTCAATCTGATGATAGTCCTCTATTACAACCAACTGTTAATATTATACTACATGGTCACAAACTGAAAGCTTTCATCTTAAAATCATAAACAAGACAAAGATGTCCAATGTTACCACTGCTGTTTAATATACTTCTGGAGAGATTGACCAGAGCAATTAGACAAGAGAAAGAAATAAAAGGAATGAGAATAGGAAAGAAAGAAGTTAAAAGGTTAATAATTTGTGTATGACATGATATACTACATAAAGAAACCCAATGCTCTACCAAAAGATTTGTAGATTTAATAATCAAACAGTATTGTAGCTGGATAAAAAGTCAAGAGTGAAAAATCAATAGCTTTCCTACACACAAACAACAAACTACAAGAGAAATTATGGAAATCACATCTTTCACTACAGTATCCCCCAAAAATGAAATACTGGAATTAATCTAACAAAGGAAGCAAAAGAGCTTTTACATTAAAAACCACAATACTCTGAAAAATGAGATTAAAGAGGATGTCAGAATGTGGAAACATATCCCATTCTCATGGATAGGAATAAACCACTGAGTAAAAATGGCCATACAAGGCCAGTGATACACTTCAGGAGTATACGCAACTGCCTGCAAGCTTAAGGTCCTGATTTTGATTCTTGGTACCCAAAAAAATTAAAAATTAAAAAAGGAAATGGTCATGCTCCCAAAAGTGTACTATAGGTTTAGTAAAGTTCCAGTAAAAATACCCTTAGTAGTTATACTAGTCTGCACTCCCACTAACAGTGCAGAAGAGTTTCTTTTTCCCCACAGCCTCTCCAGCATTTTTTGTCGGTAGTTTTCTTTATCCTGGTCATTCTTTCTGGAGTAAGATGGAATTTCAGTGTGGTTTTAATTTGCATTTCTCTACTGACCAATGTAGTTGAACATTTTTTCATCTTCTTCGCCATTTGTACTTCTTCAGCTGAGAACTGTGTATTATTCTCAGATGCCCATTTTTGGATTGGGTCTTTGAATTTTGGGGATTTGATTTTTTAAAAAATTCTTCATATGTTCTAGATAGAAGTCCTTTGTCTGAGGGACAGTTCACTAAGATTTTTTCCCAATTTGTGGGTTTTCTTTTCACTATGCCAGACAGTTCTTTCAACATGCAAAAACTTTTTAATAAGATGTGATCTCAGTTATTGATTCTGGGAAGTATTTCCCATTTGATTCTTATTCACGAATTCTCTAACCACCCCTATGTCCTCAAGATCTCTACCTACTTTGTCTTCTAGCAGATTTTGTGTTTCTTAATATTTAGATCTTTGATTCATTTTCACTTTAGTTTAGTACATTGTGATAGGCATGGGTTTAGTTTTAGTTTTTGGCATATGGAAATCCAATTTATTGAAGAGACTATCTTTTTTCCAGTAAATATGTTTGGCCCCTTTATCAAAGATAAGGTAGCCGAGTGTGTTTGTAGTTGTGGTTGTATCTTCTAATCTATTCCATTAATCTTTAGGTCTGTTTTTATTCCAGTACCATGATGATTTTATTACAGTAGCTTTATAGTAGAACTTCAAGTCAAGGATTGTGATGCCTCCTGCCTTGCCTTTGTTGCTCAGAATTGCCTTTGCTATTCTAGGTCTCTTCTGGTTCCAGATGAATTTTAGAAATGGTTTCTCTAGACCTGTGAGGTATGCTAGTGGTATTTTGATTGCGACTGCATTAAATCAGCACAATTTTGGGAGAATGGCCATTTTCACAATATTTGTTCTTCCTATCCATGAACAAAGGATGTCTTTGCATTTTCTGAGGTCCTCCTTAATTGCTTTTTTCAGGGTATTATAATTTGCCTTTCATAGATCTTTTACTTCTTTCATTAGATTGATTCCTAAGTATTTCAGTTTTTTTGGATTCTATTGTAAGGGTGTGGCTTCTCTTATTTCTCTCTCAGTGATTTTGCTGTTTGTATATAGGAATGCTATTGATTTTTGAATGTTGCCTTTGTATCCAGCTACATTACTGAATTTAGTTATTATACCTGGGAGTATTTTAATGGAGTTTGGGGGTCTTCTGTGTAGCGAGCGTCTCATGCAAATAATGGTAATTTAACTTCTTCTTTTCCTATACTTACTCCTTTTATTTCTCTCTCTTGTCAGGTTGGAGGTTCCTCAAATAGCTGGGAGTGGAAGTCCCATTTGGCCCAGTTATTCCAGACCCAGCATATTCCCAGAAGAACTGAAAACATAATACCACAGTGATATATGTGCACCCCTGTTTATAGCAGCACAATTCATAATAACCAGATCTTGGAAACAATCTAAATGCCTATCAACTGAGGAATGGATTTAAAAAAAGGTGGCATTTTCTGCCTCAGCCTTCCGAGTGCTGGGATTACAGGCATGAGCCACCATGCCCGGCAAAGACATAGGTGTTAAACACAGACTTCATGAACAAAATCCAGATTAGATGAGAAATACTACAAAGAATCAACAATTGGGTGGGCATCTTAAGAAAAAGTTTTAAGACAATAAGAGAAATCACCAAGAGTGAAAAGACAACTTAGCCAGTTGTGGCAAAAAAAAAAAAAAAAAAAAAAGCCAGTTGTACCTCACAAAATGGACTTTTGTTTCTATCTAGAATATAGAAATAATTTCTTAAAAATCAGATCTCCACAAATTCAATGACTCAATCCAAAAATAGGCATCTGAAATGAATACACACTTCTCAGATGAAGAAATACAAATGGCAAATAAATATATGACGAAATGTTCAATATCACTGGTCCTTCAAAAGACACAAATTAAAACAAAATTGAGATTCCATCTTACTCTAGAAGGAATGACGATTACCTTTTTTTTTTTTTTTTTTTAGAATGGCTATCATCATGAAATCAACCAAAAACAATTGCCAGAGGGACGTGGGGTGGGGGGAGACACGACATTTCCCCACTGCTGGTGGGAGTGTAGACTGGTCCATCCACTGTGGAAGTTCATATTGAGGTTCCTCAGAAAGTAGTATTACCTATTTTTTCCTTTTATGGTTGCCTTACAAAAGGAGTTAAAAACATCAAGCCACAGTGATATACATACACCCATGTTTATAACAGCACAACTCATAATAGCTAAATCTTGGAAACAACTCAGATACCCATTGACAGAGGAACAGATAAAAACGCTGTGGTCTTTTTAGGCAACGAAGTCTTACTTAGCCATAAAGGTCAAATTTCAGCCACAAAGGCTAAACTTTAGCCATTTATTGGTAAATGGCTGCAACTGGACACCATACTCATAAGTAAAATAAATCAGAGTCACATGTGTAAACACCACATTTTTCCCCTGATGTGAGAAACTGAAGCAGTAAATAAGGTCCAAAATGCACAAAAGATATTGTGAAATGGGATGGAATTGTTCAAAAGTAAAGTGGAACACGGGTGGGTGTTACAGATTAAAAACTGGTGGTTAACTTAATGCCAGCGGAATTAAATCACCATGGTGCTGAGCACAGATGTTTCACCTGAGGAAAGTGGCCAGCATAAATAGAGATGTGGAGAAGGAGAAGGGAGGGGTTAAGGCGTTGAGGTATTTGTGGGTCCTGCCACGTGCTGCTGTTTGAGCCGTTGGTTCTGCCGGAGAAGCTGTGGTCCTCACATCCAGCATTGCTTCCTGGTTCCGGAGAGGAAGACGTGTGCCGCTTGGCCTCCAGGATGAACTCACTCTGGCTTCCTGGCATGTATTCGACTGTGCTTATCATCAGAGGAGCTCTGGGCCTCTGTGTTGATAGAGTTATTTCCAAAAGATGAAAAATATTAACAAAAGATGAGAAATATAAAATAAAAAGCGGCCTTTATTCTGAGAACACGGAGAGAGATGACCGGCACCCTACCGCTGGCGTCCGGCAATCTCTCCGGCGGACACGCGGCGTGGGGGCCTGTAAATAGCCTCGGTTTGGGGTGGAACCTAAGGCGGGCATTAGGGATACACAGGTAGCCCATTGGTCCTAGGTTTGGCGCCATATGTAAATTCCCAGGGGTGGGAAGATGGCATCACAGGTAACTTCCTAGGGGCAGGGCAAGATGGGGCTTCCTGCTTCCGGTTGTGGCTTTCCTGGCTACAGTGTCCTGTCTAGGCCAAACCTTTCATATCCCGTCTTATGGTTATTATTATGAAAAGGGGCGAAGATTTCTCTCTTTAACTACTTCCTGCTGGCAAAGGGCACTGTACTGGAGCCTAGGGGAGTCGACGGGATGAAGGTTGATGCCCAGGTAGATGCTGCTGCCAGGTGTTTTAGCCAGGACAGCTTCACTGGTGAATGCACGTATGTCAGACTGGAAAAACAAAGAGACAAGATGTTATGAGGAGACATGGCACTGTCATATTTAAGGACCCAGGTGAGGTAGAAGGAAAGGTGCCTTTGATTTAGACATATCATTCTATCAGGATCATGTTGAGGTAGAAGCATTTCCACAGTAAGGCAGAATTCTGAAAATTAAACATGGGGTTAGGAGGAGTGGAGTTATGAGAGGTGATTACTCCCCCATCTGAAAGCATAAAAGTTAAGACAGTAGGTTGGTAAGGCTTGTCTCTGGTATGCATGATGTTGGAGTCTGTAGGCAATACTGTTAAAGAGTCCTGCTGTAAAAATGATCATTAATAGAATGTAAGAAATTAGGAACCAAATTGGATAACAAAACATGACTTAGCCTGTTAACTGTGGCTGTGAGGCCTTTGTGAGATGTAGATGGGTAGGCGACAGAAGATGAGATGACCACTCAGAATGATCAGATTTAGGGCTGGAAGGGCACCTCTTAGCCTGAGCGATGTGAAACCAGGATGGCAGTCCAGCAACTTTGATTTGGGCATGGATCGCTGTATCCTGGTTGTAGTCCTTGGAATGATTTGCTGTAACAGAACTTTAGCAAGTATGAGAAAGGCTTTTATGTCTCCTGAAAAAGTATAAACAAAGTGAGAAGACAAAATGTATCTGTCAGTCTTGACCAGGGTTACCTGAGAAATTGGTGAATAAAATAGGAGGGGGGTGGTCTATATCACTGAGGAAGGGTCTACCAGCAACAACAGGTAGGAGCTGTTGAGGCCTCAGTGTGTCTAAGTCAGCCTGTATAAAAGGCATTTTAAGATTTAGGACTGGGACCTGCACAAAATAGGCCCTGTTTATAAATGGCATAGGTTGACCATCAATACCCCATCATAGAGATTGAGGACTTAATATAGCAGCCTGAATACTCAGTAAGACCTCTGTATATATGGCCTCTATGTCCACAAATATAGAGAATGTCTTACCTGAGACTTTAGTGCAACTTGGAATCTGAGACGGACACCTTAAAGGGGGATGTTGTTGCCCTGAACCCCCTCAGCCTCCAGCAGCGATTTTCTGTCGGTGACGAATCTGGTAGTGTCGACATTTCCTATGAGGGCTAGAACTTAGGATGGCTTACCCACTCTCTGGTGGCTAGGACAGTCCAGTAGCCCTGGAGTAAGGTCTCAAAGAATGCCAGGATGGGGCATTTTCTTGTCCAGTATCTTCTGCTGCATTTGAGCATGGTCCATGGAGGGGGCAGGCAGCTCCACCTTGTGTAGGTTTACCTGTCTCAGAACTCCAAGTGTCACAAGTATTAAAAATATGAAAAACCATATTAAGATCTCTCTAAGGTTTGAAGGTCAAGTTTTGCCTTTTTGTTTGGGATTTGGACTATAGTAGAATTAAGTAAGTATGCAGGAATTTAATTGGCATTGACATTAGACAGCAGGCTTTATCTGGATGGCATATCGCCTTTTTTTTATAGGGTGACACGTAGAATTAACAAAGCTTTAGTCTGCCAAACAAGGCTTTAATGGAAACATTTTGCAGTAAAGGTTTATCAATCTTATGAATAAATCAAAACTGATCTAATACTGTCAAATTCTGAACACATTTACTTTTAAAGTTGTTATTTGCAGTAGTATGAACCAAGACAAATAAAATAAAACTTTGAAGAAAACCCTTGTCTTGAAATAGAGCTAGTGGCTCCCAGCAAAAGGAATTTATAACCTTAGTTGTTAAACAGGAGGTTGGTGAAAGCTTTGATTGATAAACAAGGCTGGTAAAATTATCAGGTGGCCAGTGACTTTGATTAAATGGTTTGAGAATTGTAATAAAAAAGCATCTTTTGAGTGGAGCCAAATTGTAAAAAAAAGCATGCCTGAGCAGAGCCGCTGAGCTGCTGTTTCACGGTGCTCCGGCAGAGCACGCCCAGTGGGTGGGGCAAGCGCTGGGATGTAGCGCGCAGGGGCGGGCTCGGACTGCCCCCGGAAACGTGTAAGGTGGCAGCGGCGGCGACGGCGATGCACAGGGGAGGGAGGGGCTGGGACGGCGCATGGGGGAGGGGCTGGGAGGCGGCCCGACACAGCGCGCAAAGCTGGAACTGCTTGCAGGGTGCGAGGATTAGAAAGCCAATTTAGGAACACAGCTGGGTTTTGATTAGCTTCCTGGACCTGTTTTAAAAGTTTGTTATAGTTAGTATGCTTGTCCTGCTCTGGCACAGCTATAGGCCCAGAGTCATTATAAACGTCCTTAAAATGTAAATCATAACAATTAGTAATAAATTTAAATTGCTTGATATAATTCTGTGGGTCAACAGAGAGGCTACCTAATTTAAGGGTAATCTGGTATAGATCAGAAAGGGAAAAAGGCACATGGATGTTAACAAGCCCCTCGGGGCCAGCTTGCTCCCGAAGTGGAAGCAGAGCCTGAGGAGAAGATTCCAGAGCAGAGGGCCATTGAGCAGCCATCCTTCCGGTAGGCGCATGTGAGCAATCATCTGTAGAGCGGCTATAGAGCTGCTGCCGGTCACCCTGGGAAACACGAGCAGATGGCGTCTCACTGTGTGCCTTGCAGCTAGAGGACTGCTGTCGGCAGCACAATGAAGCATCATGTGCACTGCAACAGGGCGGCTGTTGTAGTTCACAAGAGGAGCCACAAGGAGACGCCTGTTGACAGTGAAGGCCCTGGAAACATGGCAGCGCCCTGTCACGTGACCCAAAACATGGCGGCGCCTGGGAACATGGCGGCGCCCTGTCACGTGGCCTGAAACATGGTGGCGCCCTGTCGCCATGTGGCCCTCCGGAACATGGCGGCGCCATGCCATGTGGCAGAGGGTTGTAACATGGCGACTGTTCCCCGCGCAAGCTGGAACAATCACGCGACCTGCTGGAAGGACATAGTGACCAAGACCTAGTATGGTGGGTTACAGAATTCTCAGGAGAAGTCGGAGACTGAGAGGAAGCACTAACAGAGGGATCAGAGCCGCTGGGAGAGTTATGGGTCCCAGGAGAAGGCGGGGGAGAGGATGGAACATCGGGAGATAACTGCGACACAGAGGGATTAGAGCTGCTGGGAGAGTTATGGGTCCTGGAAGGCGGAGAGGGAGACGATCGTACAGTGGGAGGTATCTGCAATGAAGAGGGATTAGAGCTGCTGAGAGAATCAGGCATAGGGGAAGAAGAGAGTGGTCTGGCGGGAGGTAACGGCAGGGAACGAGTTTGGTGGTAGGCAGGCGGCGGCTGGGAAAACGGAGAGCAGGACGGAAAAGTTTGCGGTGCAGTAGACTTAGCTAAAAGTATCTCAGCTGGAGCACAAGACTTAATGAGAGATGGGCGTGTTCTCAGAATAAGAAAGGCTTGGACATAAGGGAGTTCTAATAACTTGTTGCCAGCTTGACAAAAATCGTACAAGTTCCTGAGAATGCAGGGGTCAAATGTTCCTTGCCGAGGCCAAGGCTTGCCAATAAGCGGGTAGGTTGGCCAGACCTCCTGGCAGTAAAAAGTTAGTTGTTTAGTTTTTATGGTACCTTTAATTTTTAGAGTACGTAAATTGGAAATTAGGCATTTTAAAGGCGTCTTTTGGGAGTTAGAAAATACGTTCCCCATGACTGATTCAGGCAAGAAAAAAAACCGGAGGTCCAGAAAAAGTCGTCACTTATTTGTGGTACCACGCGGCGACTACGGTTCCAAACCGTAAACTCCAGTCGTCACTGAGAGATTTACGAATGGAGTCTACGTGGGGTCAGTAACAGTTTTGCCCGTGAAAGCGCAAGGCTTTAAGGGAAGTGAGGCATTCTTTCAGTGTGGGCGGTCCCAAAAATCTCTGCTTTGGGCTATCCGAACCCAAAGAACGTGAGAGATTTTGTGGGCGCAGGTTTGCCCAGAAAGAACCCTGCCCTGGGCGGTCCTAAGGACGTGAAAATGCACAGACCCACGCAGACGGGGAGAACATTCCACTGGGGCTGCCCAGTGCGAAAAGTTCCCCGGGGAGTGCTCACCTGAAATCAGTCTGGCCGATGTGGAGTGCAGGCGGCTGGCGACAGGAACGTCTTGGGAGAGGAAAAAGCTCGGGATTAATCCAGGATGTTATCTGGTTATCGGCGAGGAAACTCTGGGTATGTGGCCCAAGAGTCAGTTGCCTGCCGATCCGAGTCACGGCACCAAATGATAGAGTTATTTCCAAAAGATGAAAAATATTAACAAAAGATGAGAAATATAAAATAAAAAGCGGCCTTTATTCTGAGAACACGGAGAGAGATGACCGGCAACCCCACCGCTGGCGTCCGGCAATCTCTCCGGCGGACACGCGGCGTGGGGGCCTGTAAATAGCCTCGGTTTGGGGTGGAACCTAAGGCGGGCATTAGGGATACACAGGTAGCCCATTGGTCCTAGGTTTGGCGCCATATGTAAATTCCCAGGGGTGGGAAGATGGCATCACAGGTAACTTCCTAGGGGCAGGGCAAGATGGGGCTTCCTGCTTCCGGTTGTGGCTTTCCTGGCTACAGTGTCCTGTCTAGGCCAAACCTTTCATGTGTCACTGAGGATGGCTGTGCTGCTTTTCAGGACAGCCCTGGTCTTTGTTTTGAGTGTGACTTCTGGCTCCAGCATAGAACCCTCAACCTACCAGCACAGCTCCTTCACCTGGTTGGCCTAAGACTTTCTGGCTTCCACTACTCACCTTTGGGCCTTCCCATCCATACAAGAGACTGGCATGAATCCTTCTTGTGGGTTCTAGACCTCTAGTTGGACTTGTAGGAGGCATAGTCATGAGCTCTAGGACTTCTTCTGGACTCATGCAGGACATTGTTGTGGGATTCAGGCCCTTGGTTGAATATTCTATGTCTTTGGTGTTGTGGATAGATTTCCTGCAGCCACTTGTCTTAACTCTGGGTGACCATCATAAATAATATTATAAATTCCATGTAATGATTCTAACTGTTCTCCTCCCAACCCCTGACTACAACAGTGGGTAACCGGAGGAAGGTAGGAAGGGAATGGAAAAAAATACAAGTCAGTTACACAATATGCTTTCCTTAGTTCATTGAAAAGAAAAATTTGCATTAATATCATTTGGAAAATTTCTATGCACATATCTTGTACTCTGAATAATTACTTTGAAGATAACAATACACAACTTATTATCTAGTATTATTCTACTATTATTTTGTTTTGAAACTTTTTTTTTCACCATAATCTTTTAGAAAAAACATCTGAAATGAAGCCATATCTTTTTTTTTTTTGGTCATTAAACAACTATTCTCCTTCCATATGTACATCTCACACAAGAATCTTGATACTGTGTTAGCATTCACTGCTACCACAGAAAAGGATCACTGGTTCTTTTATTTGTTATTTCTAGTTTAATTTGTATACTTTGTCTCAAGCACAATTTACACAGTGTCATGGTTTATATCTGTGTCCCCCAGGCCTCATGAGTTTGAATTGTGCATTTGTTATTCGTTCATTGTCTAGTGCTTGGATTGATGGTGTCAATGTGCCACCCACATAGGGGTGGAGCCAGGATGTGATGTAATGGCAGGAAGAAGCTGTGTCTTGCTCTTTGCTGGTTCGAGCTTGCTGTTGGCAGCTGCCATGAACTGCAGTCCAGCCATACCCGCCTGCCTTGGAGCCAACTGAGTATGGACTGAAATCTCCAAAAACTGTAAAAAATAAACCTTTCCTTTCCCAACTTTGGGCTTCAGGTATTTTGACTCAGCGACGAGCATAAAGTAACTAAGATACACAGTGAGCCTACAACATCTGACTCAAACCTTAAAACAAAACAAAAACTGTGGAAGATGAGTATCTGAGGAATTTCTCTGATAGATCATAGAAAATATCACTGGGCTTCAGATAGAGTGCAGGTTAGAAACTCAGAGAAGATGAATGCTCAAGGTGATTAAAGAATAATGGGGACATGCAAAGGAATATTATTCACGTAATTTAGGACTCAGAAAAATTAGGGAGAACTCTATCTTATACAAAGTATTCTGACAGAATGAAGTAAAGAGGTGGGGCTGAGAGGTTATAAAAATCAACAGGGAATGTACCCAAGAAATTCCTCACACAGGGTGAATACTGGGGTGTCAAAATATCTGTCAGATCCAATCTTGTAATCCCCTATGCTTTTGACTATATTGTCTTCAAGTGGGACAAAATGGAATGAGCCTTGTGGGCTAAATAAGGTAACAGGAAATCAAACAAAGAAAGACAACACACACTTCATTTCCCATTTCAAAGAAAAGGCATAAAAGTTTCTTTCTCAATAATGAATGTGGAAGCTAACTTAAAATACAAAACCCTTCACAAGTAGGATGATGGCCAGAGTCCAGTACAGCCTGGGCTAAACAAGTGAGCTCTAGAGCAGCCAGCACTGCAGAGCAAGACCCTGTCCGAAAAATACAACAATGACTGAAAATAAATTGAAACCCTGGAAGCCTAAACTGTAGAACAAAGAGGAAGAATGCCAGCAACGTAAGTTACTCTGATGAATCTCAGCAACTGAAGATGTTAGAAATATGTTCAGCGTCCTGATGAAAAAGAATAAGAGAAATTTAAAAAGCAAAAACTCCTCGGGGGCAGGGTTCAAACATCTTAAAATTTGGAGAATGTCATGACCACAACATGGCTAGATCCTGCCAATGGTAACCACAGAAAAACGTCTCCAATCTTGTGAAAGAGGGATGGGGAAAACAAAAGCATTTTGAAAATTCTGGTGCTTATAGCAGTGCTTCCCCAAAGCCTAAACAACTCAGATATGTCTACACCCAGATTATTCTTAGGAAGTGAAGTATCCAGTTCCAACCATGCAAATGAATCCCCTTTCATACTGAAAAACACAGAGGATGTGATTTTGACATTTATCTCCATAGGGTAATCAAATGTTCACTATATCCAACAAATAACAATGCCAAATACACCAAAACTTCAAGAAATACAGAGAAAGAGGACAGTAAAAACTGAAAAAAAATATGAATGAAAGAAAGAGTATTTCAAAACTATCAGTGAAGGGCTGGGGATTTAACTCAGTGGCTTAAGTGCCTGCCTTACCAAAGGTGAGGTCCTGAGTTTGATCCCTAGTACCACACACACATACACACACACACACACACACACACACACACACACACAATCAGTGCATTATCTACATGAAGACAACTGAACAACTGGTTAAACTGCATAAAAAGGCACGGAGACAACCGAACAGGAAAAAAAAAAAAAAAACAAAGAGCAGTATAAAAAGACTGCTTGTATAAAATGGTAACAGGAAAGACTTAGGCATTATTGAAAAGATCATAGAGAAGTTACACAAGGGCAGAAATAGCTGAAAAATATGCTTATTATATACTGTATATGTATTTACCAAAAAAAGTGGAAATTTCAATAGTTTACTGAGGGTAATTGTGGAAACCTCACCTTTCACAATCGTATGAAGAAAAATAAAATAGGAATAAATCAAACAAAAGAAATAGAAGACCTATATATTGAAAACTACAATACTCTGATACAGGGGATCCGTAAGCATATTAGGAAATGTATAAGTTTTCTGTTTTTATGTAGACAGAAATTGTGTAATGAAAATGTTCATAATTCTAAAAGTGTTATGCATACTTAATGCAACCCAAATCAATGTAACAATAACATAGTACTATAAAAACACAGTACTATAAAAAAAATTCTAAAATTCAAATGTCACAACCAGAAGAAACAAAAGACCAAAATCAATTCTGGATAACAATGAGAAGGCAGAAAATATAACAATCTGCTATTTGAATTTATACTGCAAAGTTATGGTGATAAAACTAGCATGGTAGGGTCTGAGGATTCAGCTCAGTGACATAAGTGCCCGCCTGGCAAACATGAGCCTATGACTTCAATCCCTGGTACAAACAAAAAAACAAACCCATGGTAGTGCAAAGAACAAAAGAACTAAAACAGAACTAAAATCAAACCAAAAGCAAAATTTAAAAAAATGAAAACAGACCTGAGGATGAATGGAACAGATTAGAAAGTGCAGATGTTTAGCTAATTTATCATTCACAAAGGAGCCAAATAACATCAATGGAAGAAAGATAGGCTCTTTAATAAATTGTGGTGGAAAAACTGGCTTTCTACATGCCAAAACGTAGTCCAAGAATCATATCTCTCACCATGCAATAAACTGAAATTGAAACTGATCACAGATCTAAATATTCAAGCAGAAACACTTAATCTATTGGAAGACAGAATAGGTAAAACTCTAAGACTTAGGTGTAGGTGAAGACTTTATGAACAAAAACTAGATCACCCCAGAAATCTCTCAAAGAAGAAATAACTAGATGCACATCAAATTAAAAAAGCTTTTGCACAGCAAAAGAAACCACCAACAAAGTAAAGAGACAACCCACAGAATGGGGGGAATTTTTTTATCAGCTACGCATCATACAAAAGACTAATATCCACACAATACATAAAGAAAGAAGAAAAATTAAAGCCCCCAAATTTAAAGACCTACTGTAAACATGGGTACGTGAAATGAGCAGACATTTCTCAGATGAAGAAGAACAAATACATACATTTAAAAATATTCAACGTTACTGGTCAGTGGAGAAATGCAAATTAAAACAATCATGACATTTCATCTCTCTCTAGGAAGAATGGCTATTATCAAGAAATCAACCAACTAATGACGGTGAGGATGCAGGGAAAAAGTAACACTTCTCTATTGCTGGTGGCAATGTAAACTGGTAAAACCACTAGGGAAATCAGAATGAAAATTCCTCAGAAATCCTAATACTAGACATTCCACTTGACCTTTTTATATATCCTCTTGAAGAGTTCAAAGCATCAGAGCACAGTGACTTATGCACATCCATGTTTACACCAGCATAATTGTTAAGAGTTAAATCTTGAAAACAGTTCAGATGCCCACCAACAGATGAATGACACGGTACTGAGCATAAGTTTCAGAATATTTTATGAAACCTGTTTGCTGAAAAGTGACTATTGTTTCCTTTCCCCGCCATTTCTTAATAGAAAATAAAGAAATTATACATCAGATGACCTGACTTTGTTTTTCTTAGTGAAGAGTACTAGTCTTGAAATATTATTTTTTTATACCTCATGCCTTGAGAAATATGACTATAGCTAAATTTTAGCACAAGGTAAGTTTTGAAACTTTAGCGGAAAGCTTCCAAACTGACTAAAACATACAATAAGTAACAACAGGAAAATCAGTTTTCAACTGATTTTTAACTAAGGCAAGTCCTCTGCTCTGAGATGTACATTTTTTATCTTGCTCCAAAAAGGAATCCTACCTTTAGGCAGGCAAATATGAGATTCAGTATTCCTTATGAGTATATGTACAACAAGCATGCCAATAGTATAACTTCTAAAAGTATGCATGGTATGTGTATATATTTATTATACTTTGTGTATCATTCACAGGTACCAGGATGAATTTAAAAAATAACAGCACTAATTAAAAAAACATTAATGCAGATATGTTTTTGTTTACATGATTTTAAAACATGTGCCAAACAATATGATGACGATATCCTCACCGCTTAATCATGTACATTGCTGGAGCAGGGCAATCAGAATTATACTTTAGGTGTTTGAATTTAGAAAAAATTTCAGTTTTGAAAAGTCTATAAAAAAGAATAAGGAACACAAAGGGGATGCAACTACATTCTTTTAAATTTGTTCGGATTTTAAAGACTCTTGAGAATCAGAGACATTGAGATAATGTGACATATACAATACAGCATGGGCTGGGCATTCTTTTTATTTTGAAATTTGCATTGTTACAGCTGTAATCCTAGTATTATAGAGAGCTAAATTAGGTAAAAATATTGATGGACATGGTGGCACACACTTGTAATCCTAGCACTCGGGAGGCTGAGGCATGAGGATCACAGCTAGTTTGAGGTCAGCCTGGGCTACAGTGAGTTTAAGTCCACCTGAACCACATAGTGAAAAACACATTCCAGCTATGGCAAGAGGTACATTTGGTGCCTGTTAGTCTCGGGGTAAAGGAAATAATTATACCCACACACTTTCAGGAAGAATGAATAGTAAAGACTGATATTCTATGGGGGACCAAAGCCTCCCTGGCCCATCCCTTCCTGGAAAATTCCGTTCATTCCATGTATATTGTTGTGTGATTTGCTTCCCCAATTGAATCAATATTACATTAAGTGACTATGCTCACATTCTTATGACTTGAACATAGTTTTGTCCCACCACATACCCACCTCATGATTTCATATCCACCTTCATGATCTTGCCCTGTATAACTTCTTCCAAGAATTAGGGTCGTCGGCAACCCACTATCCAGGTCCCCTTCTGTGTCATTTAGACATAAGGCATTTTTCTTTCAATAAATGTCCCATGTCTTCAACTCCATTGATCCTCTGAATTATTTTTACAATTTGGGGGAACACAAACTTCACATTTTGGCCATCTAACAATTTAGGAGGTTAACTATTTTCCTTATATAATTTGGATTACTTGGAGGTTAATATATCATCCATATAAAAACAGCAGTCAGAGACTTTGGCATGACTGCCATGAGATCAAAAGCAGCTTGGATTATATAGACAATGTCTAAAATAAGTTTAAATTGTTCAAATTCTCAGAAAATGTACTTTACAGTAGTCAATTAGTTTAAAGGCTGCTTCTACTCTTAGTAGGAATATCCAGCACTTGTAAACATTGGTTATAGAGTTATGGTGTATACAAAAAATGGTTTTCAAATCCTTGATGAAACAAATGCAAATCATCCAGGTAATGAGTAGCAGGGAAATCCCCAGCCACTTCTGCCTATTTCCCATCCCTACAATGGATTGGTATGTCATGACTTCAGCAGTTTAAAAATTGGTTTGTTCCAAAATTTTTGCAGGGCCACTTTCTTAAACAAGAATGATTCACCAAGACTGGCAGTTTCTACTTGGTTATTCTACTCAACAAGTATTGAATTGGATAACAGACGTCCCATGTGGCTTCACAGAATGGAGAAGTGGAGGCAATTAAGTTTCTGTTTGTTAGCCATTATCTAATAATACAAGGCTATTTGAGACTTTTCTACCTATGTCTAAGGGAAGGAATACAGTTTTGTGTCCTGCACTAAGTTGTGTCTGAGCAAACAGGTAGCCATGTTGCTCTTTTACCTTATTTCCTGGAATAGTGGGGCACATGTTTACAAGAGTAATAACTTGTACAACTCTAAAATGATGAAGCCAGGAGGAATCAATATAGGCTGGATATTTCTCCCTGTAGTTCATGAAAATTTCTACATTTTTTGATCTCTGCACTTTAACATCCATGACTAATGAAGTTCTTTTATAGTCTTATAAGTCAATTCACCTATGAGCATCTTGATTATCCAGGAAAGTTTGCTTTTGGAGATAGCAGTACAGGCCCACCATCCAGACCTCCAAAGTAAAAGGACTGAGAGATGTGAAATACAGCACAAGCGAAAGTTTGATGATTATTCTGCAGAAATGGCTTTCTGACCAAAGCTAGGCACTACTGATCCAAACATCAGTGACCTTTCTGCCTACAGCTCTCTTCTTCCTCTCCTCATTGACTGATGTCAGGGAGGTGCTATCTTCTCAATTGCCATCTTAGATTTTGCTAATCCACCCTTCTCTGGGCATTCCTTTATTTATGGAATGAATTATCTAGTCCTAATGGTATCAGCTGAGTTAGGCAGAAATATTATAGACAGTAAGCCAGGGCCGGGCCCTCCAGGTAGCAGGCACACAGGACCAGAAGTCTCGTGCCTTTGGAAACAGACACCTCTGTGGGCCAGATCTCAAGACAAAAGGCAAAACAAATGCAACCATACCCTAAGTACAAACATCAGGAATTGATATTCTAAGTAGATATTAATCACCTTGATGAAGCCAGGAGCCACCATCCCAACCCCCTACAGGAAGTCACTGCTCTGTAAGAATGACTGCTTGCTATGTGACTCAGTTTCCACTTCCGCATTTGTCCCTGATTTGGTCAACTTTACCTGAATAATGAACTGTACTGGTTGACTATAGTTCTGTCCCACATCATATCCATCTGCCTTGAGGGTTCCCAGTTTTCCCCATCTTGGACCCACTCACCTTGTGGTTTTGCGCTATAAAAGTCCCTAGAAAAGACAATGTTTAGCAATGCCCTTAGAACCCCTTCTGTCTCTCAGATATCTTTCTTTCTCTCAATATAGTCTGCTCTTAACCTCCATTCCTAAAATTCATTCTTCAATTTTAGAGAACTTGAGCTCGTTATCAGACATCTAGTAGGTTGTGAGTTTCATTCCCCTATATCACTAATATTTTGTTTTGGAGTTTCTGATTTGGGGACTTGCTTTATGGAAATTTTCATCTAAAGCTAAATGAAAATGACCATTTATTTATTTCTTCCAGTGACTTTAAAATCTGGTCAAAAATAATTCACTGGAATTCATGTAAATGTTCAAGTTCAAAAGCCCCACAAATCTCTTCTCAGATTTAAAAAATGGCTTCCAGTTATAGCACATGTAGAGTCAAGTTTCGAGTATTAAGTATAACTGTTAAATTATTTTAGAAGTTGTTTTAGGTCAATAACTATTTTTGCCAGATGTTATAGATTTTGTGGACCACAGTTATAAATATGAGAAAATTAGATAGCTATGTATGTAAAATATCTAAGTTATTTATAATAAAACACTAAAGACATTTATGAAGGATAAATTCATATATGCTTTGCTTCTTAAAATGCATAAATGGTACATTTGGGTCTACTAATTTATTTCATAGAATGTTTTGTCTATACATGTCTGTGTAACACTGATATAAAATTAAAAGGTATCTAATCTCTAATAACTGAGTAAATTAGTAAAACTGTACACATTAAGAACAGAGCCTTTCAATTAAGAAACAAGTATACTGGCTGAGGGGCACCATTTTCTGTTACAGGGGGGCAGAAGCAAACAGGTTGACATGTGATATATTGAATGAAACAGTGAGGGAAAACAAAAAGTCCTCCCAACTATGCATTTTACATGCAGCAAAAGTCTTTGAAAAATGAGGGAGAAATTCAGATGGTTTCAGATACAAGCATTGAAGGATGCAGTTCTTTACTACTAGGCCGTCCGTGGGTAGAGTGTTTCTTCAAGATGAAATGAAAGAGTCAGGTGTGGTGTTGCATACCTGTAATCCCAACCCTCAGCAGGCTGAAGCAAGATCACTGTGAGTTCAAGGCCAGGTTGGCTAGACCCTACCTCAGGGAAGAAAAAAATTGACAGGAACTCAAACCTGTCTGAAGAAGTAACTCTTTTAAAGCTAAATAGGTGGACATTTACAAATATCAAGGCTAATTTTATTTTCCACGTTAGAGCCTCATGTGTCAAAAAGTAAACAACACACCCAACAGTACTGTATTTTCTGAGACACAGTTTGTGGCATATGTCAGTGAAGCTACAAACTCACTCACCCAACTGTGGAGCAGAATTTTGTGTGGTTAGGTTTAGCTTCCCCAGATTCACACCAGTGTGTTGTGACCTTAGGATTTTCAATGTAAAGTGCCCATGGCATCCTCAAAGAAATTATTTATATTTTTTACATTATTTATATCTTTTACACAGATGAGAAACCCACTAACTCCAAAAAGAATAACTCAAATATAGTAGTGCAGAAGAGCAAGGACAAGACACAAGGCCAGAGCCAGGGGTTTAGCTCAGCGGCATAAGCACCTGCCTTGCAAGTGTGTGGTTGTGAGTTTGATCCCCGGTACCAAACACTCTTCCTGTGCAATACCCTTCCGGTGAAGGGGAACTGTACTGTAAAGACAAAGATTGGGAGAAGGGATGGGAAACATGACCCAATTAGATCCAAAGACAGAAAGGCAGAAAAGCAAAGTAGGAAATTTAGGTCCTCTGTGCCAAATACAGGAAAGCAGGCCACACTAATGTTGGGAGTAGATTTTCAGTCTAGACAAGGTGACAGGAGACAGGGGGACACGATGTGGGTAGGAGCATTGCACTAGATCCCGTGGGCTCACCTCTTGGTACTCTGTAACTGTACATTTGTGCTTTAGTATAGTAGCCAGCTGTGTGTCTCAGTACCTTTCCCTGAGGGATACTGAAAACAATCTTTGTGTTTACCCACTTGGTATGACATCAACAAGGTGTGTGCAGGTGTGTAAAATTGTCAAACAGGATTTTTACCCATATTATGCTCCAAATGGTTTTTTGTATTTACCCAACCATCACAGAGGATCCCAGAGACCCATACCACTACCAGATTTGTTTTTTTTAAAAAAGCTTTTATTTTTCTGGCAGAAGTAGCCCTGTTCAATGGCACTTAAAAAACTGGATGTACAAGTTTTGAAGGAGGTCAGAAATGAATCATCAAATAACTCATGCATGGATGATGAAGATGATCGATTATGACAAAATGCTTGCTTTCAGAACAGAAGGTATGGATGGATGATGATGATAATGATGACTGTGACACTGGTCATGTGAGCCAAAGTTCCTGTGACAGTATAATGTAGCAAGGATCAACTGATACAGATACAAATCTCCTTGATCCAGAAGACAAAACAGCAATGTGAGTACACATGTGATTAGTCCAAATGTTGCCAAATGGTCACACAACCCAATGTTACCATCCAATGTCAAGTCTGGGTCCAAAAATAAATAGTCCCTTGGTAGGATGAAACATATTGTGTAGAATCCCAGCACTGCTATTCAATGTTGGAAATTATAACAGATAAAATGCTACAAGATGCTGAAATATACAAAGGCTGAAAAGCAAGTAAATCCTTTTGTATGCATGAACAGTCATAATCAAAAATGTATTTATTATGATATCTCACCAGCTGAACTTAAAGAATTTATAGGTCTGCTCTGCTTAGCTGAGATTTCTCATGGAGACTGTGGGAATGTCAAAGCCTTAAGGAAAGTGATAGATCAACTATGGCATAAAAATGTATGCCTTTGTAGATGTGAAGACTTTTTATGCTTTCAGTTTAAATACTTATCCTGGAATTCAGCCACCAAGTCCTTATTCATATAATAATAAACCAAGTGATGTTGTGAACAGACTTGTTTCCTTCCACCTCCCAAATTAATTAGATTTGACAGTTGGTTTACCAGTTTCCAATTGGTGTTATGTTTCCTAATAGCACCAGCTGACAAGCACAGAAACAAAGCAGAAATCAAAATGAAATGCTGCAATTTCAAAACAGAGAAATACAGCTTTTCTTCCACATACACTTGAAACCAGTGACTACTGCCCTGTTGTTTTGGTGGAATGTTTCTGTCAGTGTCAATTAGTATAAGTTTATCGATAGTATACAATCTTTTGATTCTCACAAATTGTGTTTTTCTATTAAATTGTGAGAAGAAAAAAGCACAAGGCCTTTAGTGAAATTATAGGTCAAGTTAATAAAGAATGAGTTTCAAAGTGAGTGAGGGTTATATCTGTTCATTATCTTATTAAGCACATTTACTAAGTTTATTAAGCAGAACTCATTTAATATCCTAAGTATGGCTTTTAAAAATCTGCTCTAAATGATTTAATAGTTGAGGCTTGTCTGGTCATTACTGTGGTTTTTGTTGTTGCTATTGTTTTTTTGTTCTGTTTTGTCTTTTTGAGACAAGGTCTCACTATCTACTTCAGGTTGGCCTTAAGCTTACTCTGTAGCCCAGGCTAGTCACTTTGTAACCAGGCTAGTTGCAACAACCATCCTGCCTGGCTTGGTTTGTTTATACAGTTTAACATAAATAGCTTTAAAGAGGTGCTGACGGCTTCCTTTTTTCTCTAATGCATAAAGTGCTCTTACTTTACTCCTTATTCTGATTAAAAATTTGAGTTGTTTAATAATGAGTTTTTTCCAGAAAAAAAATTTTAAGACAATGATTTTTAAAAATATAATTATAAAATCTTTCCATCTCAAGTATGTGATATGTTCTTTTGTATACATACAGGGTTCACATCCATATGGAAGTTTGGGACACAAATATGTATTAACAAGTTTTAAGTAACTGATAATCCATGTGTGGGGTGACAATTGTATAATAACATGAAAGTTATTATTTCTCTTATAAATTGACCATACATCTTGAGAGTGTAAATCTTGAGCAAAACATTTCTAATTAGAAAATTTGTTCTAAAAGCTTTTTATTAAAAATTTTAAAACAGCGGGCTGGGATTTAGCTCAGTGGTGTAAGCAGCTGCCTGGAAAACACAAGATTGTGAGTTTAATCCCCGGTACCAAACTTAAAAATTTAAAACAGGAAGAATGCTACTATGTTTATTTAAAACAATAAGCCTTTGATCAGTGATCTGTTTTTAATTAGACATGGAAAGGAACTTTTAAAAACAGGTTTTCAGTGTTCCAAATAATCCTAATGTTTTCCAGTCATGTTAAAGTTTTAAAAACTTTAAACAGCCCTCTGTCCCTCCCACCACCACAAGCCAGCAGTGGCCCTGGAGAACCAGGAAAGAAGCTACAGTCCCTGGGGAGGCAGGTGGAGAGGTGGCCTGAAGAGAAGACCACCACCCTCCCACCCCCCATCCCTAAGCAACAGAGACAGGATTTGCTTTGCTCTTTTTGGCTTGTTTTATTACCATTATAAACTTTGAAATAATTTTAACATTTTAGCATGCTGATTCAGAATAGCAAGATTAAACTGAAAGGTCTTTTCTCTAGGTTTGTTTAGTTACCAGTTTTTAATTCATTTGAAGTAAAAATAGGAAAACATATTTCATTATTAACAGAAGCAAAAGTCAAGAATTACCTGTGATGTGTGAATCTCATGGACATTTTCAGGAACAACTACATTTTGAAAAATACATTGAACTAGCCAGGCATGGCGGACAGGTCTTAAATCCCACCACTGCGCAGGCTGAGGCAGATGACTGTTGTGAGTTCAAAGCCAGCTGTGGCTTCATAGCAAATTCAAGGTATTCCTGTACTACAAAGTCAAGACCCTGTCTGAAAACGAACAAACAGAAAATACATTTAATTAGAAGACTGAATTTTTGTTAATTTTTGTAAAAACTTAATGTCAGCCTTGAAAAGAGATGACACGTTGCACTCTGCTCCTTTCCTCAATTTCAGCCAGTTTTCACAGAAGAAAATCCTCCTCACATTTAACTTAAAGAAGGGATTTTAACACCTACAAATAGTCATATACTTTCATGCATTTATATATAGAATTTTATTATAACTTTTCAAGACATTCTTTTATAATATCTGCAACTTATTCATACAGAAAAATACTACATACAATTAAAGTTCCAAGGCAAAGGATTATAAAAGCTTCAAAGCTGGCTAAGGATAAAGCCTGAAAGGTTCTTGCCCTGGTATAAATTACTGTACAGTTATGGAGGTGGTCTATCCCATTGTGGAAGGCCTAAGCGGGAACGCCTACCACTTCCTGCTTCTTCCTCAGCCCTAATTGCAGCTCCCCTTCCTGTTTGCAGGCACAGAGAATTCCAATCGGTTCCTCACAAATCATCCATGTCTGCCCCATGTGCCACTTCAATCAGAGGTCCCATAGCCCTCTGCCTTTCTGTATCCTGTTGAAGGAGACAGCCCAGGTGCCATGGGTTGTGTGTTCCTTTCCATGTCCTTAACTCAATAAACCTGTTCATTTTGTACTTTTGCTTCTCTATTGCACCAGAATACCCTAACAAAGCCTTTGCAGCTTCACACTCTGCACAACTGCATTTGGGTCTCAGGAAGGGCCTGAGTGAAAACGTAACACCAAAGGAGAGAACCTAACAAAGCCATTTTAGCTGATGCCAAAACACTCAGGTCTGTTACACAGGGGCTCAGTGAGAACCTAGTTGCTTTTCTGCTTTGGCTTGAATAGGTCCTCCACAAAGATACTCATTTAGACTCTGTGTCTAGAGAAGGTCAGATTACTTCCAGACAATACTTTGTCAATCAGCTCCATGTATTAAGAAAAGGCTCAAAAAAAAAAAAAAAAAAAAAATCTCCAACTGAGCCCAAAAATCAAAATAAGCCTATTGGCTGGTGAAACTTATTCCAATAATCATGATGAAATACAGGACAAACAAGAACTGCATAAAGAAAGAAGACAAGGAAATCAAAACTTTAAAAACTGTAGTTCAAAGAAAAACTACAGACTTGGAGCACAAGCCTTGTTTACTTTTTTCCTTCTCCCAAAACAGCAAACCTGGGCAAATCCCTTTCTTCTACAAATGGGTCTGCCCATTCCCTTTTACTTGCCAGTGATCTGCTTTCACCCACAAACAGACCATCCTTCTAGAATTTTCCAAAGGAACAGACAATTATTTTTCTGGGCCTGGCTATCCTTATCCATCCTTACCTGCTAAGACTACCACTACAGATTATCAAATTCTATAGATTTCCACCTCCCTAAACATAAAGGACACCAGTCCCCAACTGTATTGTGTCTCATTTCTTTTAGCATTTTTACTCCACTCTTGACTTTGTCCTACATCTATCTTTAATAAATCTTCCCTATGAATATTTTCCTGATACATCCTGAAAGTTCTTTTTGCATAACAGGAGTCAGTGAACTTGCATATTTGTTGTAAAGGGGTTTTAGCCTGGGGGACCTTCAGAACCAGCCTGTGGCAAAGCCATCAGGAAAATACTGCCTAACACAAGATCTCATACTACTATTAACTACTCCTTTTGCCAGTAAGATGCAAGAAATAGACTGTCGAATTCAGCGTGCCAGGATAAAACTCAAACCACCTGAGACATGAGAAGATGAAGAAGGACCACAAACTTCACATACCTGTGAACCAACAGAAACCATTACATTTCCTTCCTGGAGAGAAAATGCCAAGCACTCTGGTGAACTATGTGGATAAAAAAGATTTGTTCATCCTGAATCGATTGTGTGAATAGTGTCACTACTGTCTTGTTTACCACCATCACTAAAATAACAGTTATACCTGAGTCTTAAAAATGCCATGGCCACATCTAAGTGCATTCTAGTTTATTAAAAAATAAATAAATAATAAATTTCCAAAGCCAAGCATAGAGCTCAGGTCTGTAAGGCCAGGAGTTGAACGTCTGAAGCAGGAAGAGAGCCCCCAGTTTGTCAGTCTGGACTACACAATGAGTTTAACATCACATATGCTACAAAATGATAACTGGTCTCAAAGATCCAAAAAACAAAAACAAAAAACTCACACAACACTGCAGAAGATCTCAACATGTAGAAGATAATGTGCAGAAATGGATTGATATTGTATGCTCTAAATTCTTCATATTATATCTTTCATAAAACTACATTTATAGCACCAAAAAATCAACTACAAATGTGACAAAACTTTTAGAATGTCTTTTGAAAAACAAAAGACAGCACTATATTTTTCAAATTTCAATTTCAAAAATAGATTTTCCTCTCCATTTCATTGGACACAGGATAGCTACAGTCATTTAGTTGTGAACATGAATCAACATACACGGACACGAAATTTATTAAAAATATCAAAATATTTTTTATATTACCCTAAACTGAGGTTTGATATGGCTGACTACAAAAATCAAGAGGAAGAGGTGAGAGATCATCCACATAAGGTGGTAACCTGTGCATTTTTGAAGCTAAGTAAAGCTGAAGTTTTAGCATTGTAAATATAAAACCTGTGCCAAATATAGATACAAGACCAAAGTACCAAAGAAGAAACAGTAAATTGCAGGAATAAAAGAAAATGACTTCTGATCTAGAAGTAAAGAAAATATCAGAAATAAATGTATAAATCCATAAATGTTCAAGTGACTTTGAAAAGATGCAAAAAAAGTAACAGGATTTCTGTTCAACAAGACAATGATATTAACTTACAGATGAAAAATCATACAAAGTATTTTCATTCTCAAAAGTCACGACCAAAGGCCAAATAACGGGAAAAGAGTTTTAAAAACAAAGAGCCCTCAGGAGCCAAGGATATAGCTCAGTGCTACAAGCGCCTACTTGGCAAGCACAAAGTCATGACTTTGATTCCAGGTACCAAAAAATAAAAATTAAAAAAAAGACTTCCCATCAAAATATGAACACGTCATATAAGGAGGTAATTCACAGTAAAGGTCAAAAATGAAGAAAATACAAAAAATAGGGGAAAAATGACTATCAACTGAAATCCATAAAATTCACTGTTAGAAAAATTCTGGAGCTGAAGATTATTAGAATAAGGATTTACAGCCTTCAGGCTGTGGCAGTGTATTTTTTAAATGGACACACACTGCATGTATGGTATTTTCTCAAATTTGTTTCTAGAGCAGAACAAAGAGAAGGCCTGCTGTGTATTTATATCACTGACAACTGGAAAAGCCTGCTTTCCCAAAGCCTTAGAAAAGGAAAAGAAGGTGTCATGATCCATCACATTTTTCTGAACTAGGGAGTCACTAGTGGTGGAAAACCTGTTGTAGCTGATGTAGTGCACACATAAGTTCCTGAACAATACATTCCAGTACAAAATGATGACCCCAAGAGCTGCCATCTTTATCTTTGCAACGCAAAGCCAAGCAGAGTAACTCTACCCAAATAAGCCCCAGTTTATACTTGCACACTCGTTCTTCTTGTGCTCCCCCTATTTGCCTTTCTGTTGCCACTACAGTAAGAGTCTACTGAAGTCTTCACCGCTGGGTGTTTTATGTTGACACTCAAGGACCTGGTGGGGAAAAGGGGGAGGGTACAGAGGCCAGGCTAAGGCACTGCTTGAACTGAACGCGGAGCATTATCTCAGCTGTGCCCTTCTTTCCCCACAGGCCATCCAGCTTGACAGACATATTCCTTACTTACAAGGAAGGGAAAGTAGGAAAGATAGAGGAGAAAGCCAAACACTTGCACCAGCGCTTAGGCAGGGAGAATGGTTTTTACAGTCAGCCTCAATTCAATCTACACATACACATCTCTTCTCTTCAGCATTGTACACTGCTGGTATCTTATGTCAAACTGCTCTTCTCTGGGTGTGCTGACAGTTTCTATCCTGTCCCCTTGCCCTGCTGAAGGAGACTACACAGTATGACCAGAGTGGTGCCCCTGTCTATAATACAAAACAGCAAAATCTAAATAAACCAAACCAAAATGTGAATCTAAGCAAACCACAGCAAAAAAGAGAAAGCAAACTCAAAATTTGTGCTCTTTTCTACAAACACTACTCATGTGTTGCAGTTAGGTTTCTCCTAACACCCTGATTAATACTGCTCTCAACACAAGGAAATTATTGAATCAGTTCCATATTCTACAGAGAAACACTTTACCAAAGAGTCCACTAAATGCTGCTTGAGTTACCAAGGGAAAATATCTTGATCAACCTAAAGTCAGTTGAAAATAAAAGCTACCGAAAATGTTTTGAGTACATCTAGTCTAGCAAACATAATTAAGCCTTGGCTCCTTTAAAACAGCTCAACATACTTACACTGATCTGTATTGGAGAAAAATCTATGAAACACATACCAAGTTTCATAGTAAGACATTAAATATCTCATGGCCTTTATTGAACATAGTACATCGGAAACTACCAGCTGTTTTCACATGGTTTGCTGCTGCTGACCAGCAGAGACTCACAGCTGCTGCTCAGCATCTTGAGCAAGTATTGTATCACATATCCCTATGGTGCAAAGGGAATGAAATGCAATAATTCAGGTGCATTTTAAACAGAATGCTTGTCATTTTTTTCCTACTTCAGTACTGGAGATTAAATTCAGGGTCCCATGCATGTTGTCAGGTTCCTTTAGACTCGAGATACAGCCCCAAGTATTTTTACTTTATGTTGCAACTGGGTCTTGCTCCACTTTCTAGATGGGCCTTGGTATAGCTATCCTCATGCCTCAGTGTCCCAAATGGCTGAGATGCAAGTTGGACATCACAATGCATCAGTGAAATTTCATTTAACAAGAGTGTAATGCTGGTCAACAGGGGTGGTTTAAAAATGAAAATGAAAATCAGTGGTGATAGAGCACCCCATCTTAACCAGATTGGGTGGCACTTGTCTGCCATCTCAGTACTGCTGGAGACAAGTTCAAAAGTTCACTGCAAGCCAGGTGAGATGGTGCGTGTCTGTAATTCCCAGTGCCAGTCCTAGCCAAAAGGATCGCCTGATTTTGAAGCTAGGTTGGACTACACACTAAGTTCCAGCTGTTGTAACTTAACCAAAGTACCACCATCCTGTTTTGTAAGCTTCGTTACCCTGACCTTTGTTCCAACTTCTCTTTCCCGTAAACTTCCCCGCTCTGAGAACAGCAACTTGTTTCTGGAACTAGCCGACCACAAGTTAATATCCTGTAAAGCTAAGAAACTTGTCTCCAAGTCAAATAAGGAGACAAAAGACCTTCTTCCCCCTCTGCCCCCTCTCTTTGTTTTGCGGTTTTTCCCTTCATAAACCTCCCAGGGACCTAACCTAGTTGCACAGCTCTGCAATTCCAACCCGACTGTGCTGCTGAGTACCAGCTTAAAGCGCTTTTTTTTTTGGATGATGCCTCATTTTTGAGTCACAACAACAGCACAGCCTGAACTTCATAGCAAGACCTTGTCTCAAATAAAAAAAAAAAAAAAAAATCAAAAAACCGCAAAGAATCAAGCAAAACGATTCAATGCAGCCTGGTAACCTAGTGAGACTCGATCTCAAATTTTAGAAAGAAACTGTTGAAAAGTGTGGGGAATCCAATTCTGAGCAGAAGTCCTGAGTTCAATTTTAGGTAAAATACAAACATCAGGGAATGAGATCAGAGAAACAGCACACCACAGCTCCCCCAGCTCATTCCCTCTAACAAAGTCTCCCCCACAACTCCCACTCCTTTCTACAGCTGCTGACCCGGCAGTGGGCTGTGGCTGCCTGAGAATGCACTCTGGGCTGGCAACATGGCCATGGAAAAACTATGGTGCTGATTACCCAAAATGTATCTGCTTTAGCCAAGGCAAGAGGAACTCACTGTATACAGCGCTAGAGAATGGGGAACTGACACGAGAGCTGGTAGAGCGGTTCCAGCCGCCATTGCTATTCCTGTCTTCCATCCGGACCTGAGTCCCATCCCCTCCCGACCCATCTCAGGGCATCCATCCCACAACCTCACCATTGTGTGGCTACAGGGGCTCCCCAGGGTCCTCCTCCTACAGCCTGTAACCCGTAGAAATCCCAAAGGAAGAAAGTTTAATCAGCAAGGCGGACTTCTAAAAACATGCCCAAGATCTGGGGTTCTGCGCAGGGAAAGAGCCCTCCTCCCTCGGCCCACCTGATTGGACAGCGATACGCCCCGCCCCTCAGCTCTGTTTTGCTCCTGCTCCTTGGCTGGGCCTCTAAACTGAGATCCACAGGGCAGGAGAATCCGCACCAGTGGGAGCAGAGTTCTAATGGATTGTAACCCAGTGTGTTCGAGACCAGTTTCTTATGCGAATTTGCACTAATATTTTTTTGGAGCAGTGTTTTCTCCAGGTTTTGCAGAGCTGCCTTTCCCTTATGACTGTCTCTGTGTAATTTAGTCTGCTTTCATTATGCTGCCAACTCTGTGATCCTCCTGCATCAACCACCACAGATCTGGCATTACTGGTATGCATGACAATCCCTGGCTCCACCTGGGGACTGACTTAGGGGACAACCCCTGGATGTTACCTCTCAAAATGGGGTCATAGTTGTGCTAAGACTGTTCCAGAGTTAAAATACAAAGAAGAGGGGCTGGGGATTTAGATCAGTGGCATAAGCGCCAATCTGGCAAGCATGAGGTAGTGAGTTTGATCCCTGGTACCAAAAAAACAAAATAAAGTAAAATGCAAAGAAGAAATCACTGTGTGAGAACAACATGAGTTCAGGCAAGGCCAGAACACGTTGAATAGAGGGATAACTTGATATTGAAAGAGGTAAAAATTTGCAAGAAGGAAGTTTGCTTCTCACGCAATGTATCTCAATTTACTCATTTTAATGAAAGTACGTAAATACATGCCAGAAAGGGAATATAATAATTGAATAAATGTATTTCATTGCATCGAGACGGGAAATTTAAGACTTCAGACTGTTAACTTCCTTTTCCTGCAGTTCTTTCTGCACAAGTTGACACTGTCGTTCAACACATTACAAATCCTAGAAGAGACATATTCCCTAGAATCATGTGACACTCAATGTCTTGTTACACATGAGAGGTGAGTACAATCTCAGTAATTTTGTGATGTTTTGGGTTGGGTCACAGACATGTGACATTTGGGACCATACCTTCTCCCTATCCCTTCCTCTCTGCCACTTTTCCTCTGAGCTTCCTGGTTCTCATATTCTAGCTACTTTTCCTTTCTTATTTTCTTCTACTCTGATATTTTTGCTTTTGACTCAAATAATAACTGACTTCAATCTCCAAAACTCTGAGCTAATATATCTCCTTTTCTTAAACTGCAAGGATTTAACCCATATTCTTATAAGAATGGTGCCGTCCACGCCGACAGGTACATCCCCATTGGGAAGCTGTGTGCTTCTATTGCTAACTCAAAAGAGACCTTACCTGCCCCATATCTACCATGGTTTGGTCTCTGGAGTTCACAGTGTATGCAAGCTATCTATCCTGGCCCATACTTGTGATTTTCCTTTCCCTTCTTTCTCTTTTTGCCCCTTTCTTCCTCTGTATTTTTGTCTGCAGTTATTTTTTGCTTTTGGCTTCTGAGGAACATAATTCATAATTATTTAGCACTTATTTCTTACCCTACAACCTTATCTCTGCCGTGACTCTTTACAGCCTGCATATTGTGATCTGTAAGTTTGAAGAGGAAAATAGAATTAAATTTCTATTTCTGAGGTCCTATGGCAGCCGGTAATTAGCTACTCCCTTGAGATTTGCTTTCTAATGCCAACTGCATAGTTCCCTTATCTAACCTACCTTACCCCGAACCTCTATATTACTTCAACCACGTGTTTTCTGTCACTCTGAGCCTGCCCCTACTGTGGACCGGTATGTTTCCTGTAACTCTGAGATTGCCTACAGTTTGAACTCCTGTGGAGGCCTGCCAGGACAGCTTTCCTTGAAAGAAGAGCATTTGTCTCCATTTTGGCTAAAACTGGCCCTAATTCCATGTATTGATATGTACAGAACTAGTTAGGGTATTTCTTTACTTTCTCAACTGGCTTAAGCAATGCAAATGGATCTAGCTAACATGCTGGTATGTGTGTAGTCTTTAAAGCAATGCAATGAGTCAGCTAGGCCTCGCCTGTACTTTCCAACTAGCATGAGTAAGCTAGGCCCAGTGGTGCCAGTCTATTGGCTGAGACTGAGGTTTGAGAGAGAAACCATGACATCTCAAGGCATGAAGACTAGGCATCAAAGTTGAAGCAACAACTCCAAAATACAAGATACTTCCTTAAACAGTGTTATGCAGATTATTCTTTGTGCATCCCTCTCTCTATATTGTAGAGGTGCTATTGTGCCTCCTACCCGGCCCAGCTCACTACACTTATGTACCTCCTACCATTCTAAGTCACTCATCCCCAAGTCCCTCTCCTCTTCACAAATTAATGAAACCTAGGTTCGGCCCTGGTTCAAGGCCTTTGTTCTGGGTAGCCATTATTCTAACTGGATTTAGGACCCCCTTAGATCCCCACCACTACAGATATGTATTTGACTCTTTTTTCTCATTGTAAACTGCACCAGAGAATTATTGGAATTCCAATAACTTTTTCTTGGGATTACAAATACAAATTCCACCAGATCGTGCTGAGTTCTAGACAGGCTTCCTATAAACTCCCTTTAGTGTGCAACATATATGATGTAGTTTTCCCTTATGCCAATTAGTAATAATGAGATAGTATTGTAATCCTAAATATTAAGTACTATAATCCCTTTTTCAATCTTCCCCACAATCCAAAAAGTTATATTTATAATCCCATTGAAACATTATTCGAATCCTAGCAAGTTAATTCCAATCTACCATCTCCAAAGCAACCCATAGCAAGAGTAAAGACACCAAGACATATTAAAAGTTAAGGGCAGCCAAGGGCTCTTAAACCCAATTCTAGTGAGGATATGCAGATAAAGGTCTTAATCCAAGGCCTCTCCCAGAATTTATTATCCTTTGTAGAAAGGCATGTCTTGAGGATGAGTGATAGTGAGATTGGCGGGAACTATGTGAATAACTTGAGCTGGCCAGCCAGGCAGAAAAAAGCATCTTTGCAAAATGTTGGGAGAATGATATGCAGAAGGATCAATTTGCATAATTCAATTAAGGTAGCATTTGAATGGTTTTAGGAAGCTGTTGCTTCAATTTGTGATATGTAAACTTTTATGCCCTGGGGAGTCATAGCCTCTTATTTTGAGGCTGGTACCAGCTGATATTCCCTGAGTTTAGTGGCTCTGCCATCCTGCTGTGCTCATCTTTTACAGAGAGCACTATGTAAGGAAACAGGAGACTGTCTGATGGATTTACAGATTACATACCAATAGCTCAGCTAGCCTTATTTGCAATGCTTAGAGCCAATTGAAGAGAGAAGGAAATAGCACAGTCAGCTCTGTACATATCAGCATATGGAAATAAGCCTCAGTTTAACCAAGTTGCACCAATTGTTCTTCAATCAAGGGGAGACACTTAAATTGTCTCCTACAAGATAAGATGTAACCAATCAATAACCATCAAATATTCTGCTTTTGTACTTCCCAGTTACAAATCCCTTATAAGCCCTAGACTATCAGAGATGAGGACCTGACACTTTGGGAATGATTTCCAGTTAGGCTTGTCATTAATAAATCTGCCTCCAAATCCTGGATGATGTCTCAGCATTTCTGTTTGCTGCTGAAGGTTGACTGAACTAATTCTGAGAATATGGGCTTATGAGAGTAGTTAATGAAATCTGGACCAGTTGGGCTGGGGATTTACCTCAGTGGCATAAGTGCCTGCCTGCCAAGTGCTAGGTTGTGAGTTCAACCCCTGGTACAAAAAAAAAAAAAAAAAAAAAAAAAAATCTGAGCCAATTAAAACACTTTACCTCTTATACTCCTGCCCTTTTGTCTTTGTCAAACCTTATTTCTTGGATTCATAAGTTGGACAGGAGGAGCCTCCTTAAAAAATGCAGTTTAGCAATAGTGACTACATAAGGGGATGTATGTGTATCTAGTTCAGTAATAGAATGACCTTGGAATGAGAATATATATTCTTACGTGTATGTGTGTATTTTTAGGTACTAAATAAGAGCTTTCTTTTAAGTTAAGTGTCTGCCTCTTATCTTCTTTACATTTTATTGGAGGTGGGAGGTTTTCTTCATTTCTGGCACCTTGCTTCCTTTATGCTCTGCCCGTTAACTCCTCTGGTGAATCTCTCCATTAGAGAGCATTCTTTCCTCTGTTGTAAAGTCTTATGCCATTTGTCCTATCTTGGTCTTTTTGTATCTGGCTCTCTCTCTCTCTCTCTCTCTCTCTCTCTCCTCTTTCTACCTTTGTTCTTTTAATCACTTCTAAAATAATTCCTTTAGTAAAGTTTAACTCTTTTAATCAAAATTAGCCAGTGAATATACCTGCAGAGACAATGGCTGATTTTAGTAAGATTTTCTATAATTTCTTTAATTAAGCCTAATAAGCCTTATTTTATTCTTTCCCTGTTGCAAAGCCCTAAAAGTGCGCAAAATTGTGGCTGCAAACAAGGAGGAAAAGACTCTGTGCAGAGGTGATGAAACAAGATAACCAAAGCTCCATTCCTTTCAAAGGCAGAAAGCATGTCACAGTTGCCAGATTTAGAGCTAGGAGCTTCATTAACTATTAAGAAGACTTTGTCATTTATTCATTGAAAAACTGGGTGAGAGGGTCTCAGAATGTTGAGGCAGCATGAAAATTATTAGCAGAGAGGTGGTATTCTGGTGATGGGGGCGGGGTCCAGTATCCACTTACACACACTTAAATACTCTGTTCCCCACCCCCCAATTCTTCACCTCCTCCAATTTGTCATTATATAGATTGCTTACTAAATAATTGTCTAAGGCACAGTTCTCAACATTTCTCTCCAGTGTCTAAATGTATACTTGGGAGCCCCTCAGTGAGATAAAGAATGGGGACAGGATGGGTGGGAGAGTTTTCATTTGTTTTATATTTGTTTTCTGTAGTGCTGGCCTTGCATAGTAGGCAACACTCTTCCCCTGAGTCCCCATGTTGAATTTACTGTTGGATATGACTGAGTGTGAGATACCTCTGAGGTATCCAGTGGGCACTGAACTCAGGGAGTGGGCAGAGGTAGGGATGGAAATCCAGGTGCCGGAAGGGCTAACTTACAGTCCTGAAAATTGATGGAAGTTATGATAGTGAATTTTGATGTCAACTTGAAGGGATTAACAAAGGCCTAGCAGATGAGTGGGTATGTCAGGATGATTGATATGTAAGTCACAAACTGAGAAGGAAAGCTCACCCTGGGTGTGCTGGCATAGGTTTGTAGACTGCATGGTATAAAAATAAAAGGAAGACTTCCCTTTTCCTCTTCAGAGGAGCACTAGTGTTTGTCATCATTTTTAGAAAATTGTCTCAGTATCTTTAGGGTTCTAGCACAGACTCCAGCCTCCTAATGCATGCCTTTTGGCTTCCCTTACAGGGAGTCCCACCAGGCTCTTCAGTGGGCTCCAGGCCTTTGATTTTTAACTGGATCCTCCAGCTCACCAGCCAGCTCACAGGTGACTATTTTTCAGTCTTCCACCTCCAACTCTGCAGGAAGACTTTGTAAGCATACTTGGTAAATTCTTTGCACACACATGCACACACACACACACACACATACACACACAATTTAATCTGTTCTAGAGAATCTTAACTGATATGAGACTCTACAGAAAGCATGTGTGCTATAAAAAGAGAACTCGTAACTAAAGCCTAAGGAACACCAGCAGTTAAGCAATGAGTAGAGCAAGAATTCTGGGAAGCAGCTCCCTGGAAGTAAGAAGCAGCCCCAGGACATGGCACATGGATGCCAAATAGGAAGACTTACTCCGGGAGGTGGGTCCGTGGAGAAAGGACAGTCAGTTTGATGGGTGGGAAACCATTCTTAAGTAACAGGAAGGCTTAAGGACTGGGTGGAACACTGGTCCGTCATCATGGTCAGCAAAGCTAGGAAGCCACAAGTGCTGTCTTTTCTGAAATTTTATGTGTGTGGAATGAAAGCCTTGGGAGAAGTAAACATGAGCATGTTGCTCAAACAAAGGAAGAGCAGGGTCTGTGGGTTAGGAGAACCTGGAGCGTGTAAAGGAAACAGTCTCTAGCATGGTCTTTTGTGATCACATCATTGAAATGTGGGCTGAGAATATGACTTGCTGCTCACTAGAGAATGTGGGATGCTCTCCATGATTGAATATTGCTATGCAGGGCTCTTTGGGTATCTGACCTGTTCCAGAGCTTTGTTCCCTGATTGGCTTGGAAGAGGAAAGTAGCCAGGTTGGGATCCTGCAAGGCAAGGAGCTGAGGGTGGGCTCCAGGAGTCCAAGGCAGGGTCCAGCAACAGTCTGTGAAAACATAAGGCCTTCAGGCCTCCAACTATGAAGATGTACATTTTCCAACTCCCTCGGTGGCTCTGGAAGAGGACTCTTCCACAACCAAGAGTCCAGGTAGATCTCCCTAACTAACACCTCAGTTGCAGCCTAGGAAACTGAGTTGAGGGAGAAAGGGAACAGGACAGGACACAAAGCTGTGCCCGAATATCTAACCCATAGAATGCAAATATATGGGTGTGCTCTTATAAAACACGTAGTTTCCAGTAATTTGTTATATACCAATGATAACTAATGCATCAGGCAGGAAAATGAAAAGACAATTACAACAACGATGAAAATACAGAAGAAAAGGAATAATGATATCTCTAGCTCTAGCCTCTTTCCTTGGCTGGGCCATTGTTATAAACCTGCTTATTCAATATCTCTATGTGCCCCCTGTGAGCTCCTAAATATTCATGGATCCCAAACTGAGCTTCCTGTTCTGTGCCACTTCCTCCTTTTCCCTCCCCTCCACAGGCTGTTTCTCTATCAGTGGAAACTCCATATGTATTATCCTTTAGGACCACAACCTAAAGTCACGCTTGATCCACTATTTTGTTGGTGCTCCCCATCTAAGTCGTTGAGCAGAGCCTTGTAACTCTCTTTAAACTAAATCCGCCATCTGTCCACCTCTCACTACTTCCTCGGCTACACACTGGTAAAAGTCAGCCTCGTCTCCCATCTGTCGCTGAGGAACCCCCTGCTGGTCCTCTGTCTTCTATCTGTGCCACATCCCAAAGTGCTGCAACTTCAGTTACTAACTGATGAAACATTAAAGCATGAGTCAGATCCAATCCTTCCTCTGTTCAAGAGCTTATAATGGCTCCCCTCTCATTGGTAAAGCCACGGTGGGTACAATAGCTTTCAAGGTCACATGTGGCCTAGCAGGCCCTCAGTGTCTGGTGACATTGCCCCCTTATGTGGTGGATTAACAACTGGTGGGCAACTTGTAACATCCAGCTGAACTGAATCAATGTGGTGCTGGGTGTGGAGGGCCCACCTGAGGGTTGTTGCTAACAACATAAAAAGGAGAACTGGAGGGGGAGAGGTAGTGCTGTTAGTTCTCTTGGAGGAGCTTGTCACACTGGCTTTCCTGATATGAATTCAGCTTTTTTCATCATCAGAGGAGCTCAGGACCTCATTGTCACTGAGAATGGCTGCAGTTCACTTTGAGGGAGCCCTGGTCCTTACTTTGAGCATCACTTCCTGGCTCCAGTGCAGACCCCTCAGCCTGCTGGCACAGATCCTTCATCCTGCTGATATAGACTTTCTAGATTCCACCACTGACCTTCCCAACACAGATACATGAAACAGACTTGTATGAGACATTGTTGTGGGCTCTAGGCTTTCAGTTGGATATGTGGGGGCATTGTCATGGGCTCTAAGTTTTTAGTTTGGACACATGCAAGACTTTCTACATAACTGGTTACATGTATTGAGTCATACATTGAATTTGTTGAAACAAAGGAATTGTTCATCACAATACAGATACACTCCAGGGTGGGGGTCCTTACAGAGTGAGCCTAGTTAACGGCATTTTTGACTATCCTGGGTGCCTTAAGGTATAAACAATCACTCTGACTCAGTGCTCATCAGAGGTGAGCAGCTGGGCTTTAGATATTGTCAAGGTCAATTGGATTGAGCAGAAACAGCAGAAACTTGGTCAGAGAACTCTAATTGATCATGAAATACCTATAAGTTTGATATTTCGCAAAAGTGTTTTTACATTTTAATTGTGTCCCCAAAGAAGGAGTAGACTAAGCAGGGGTAGGTTAAGGGGTAGGTTAAGTTTTGGCCCTCCACCCAAGGTGATTGATGCCTATTTAGAGTATCAATTATCGCTGTTCTCCTAGGGGCATTAGGTAGGTACAATCATCTCTCCACCCTGAGGCCCGACCTACAATGAATGCCCCTGCCACCACAGTTATCTTCTGTACTGAATTCTTCTAAGGACTTGGCTCTGGCTGACCATCTATGATGTTTCTAAATAACTAGCTATTGACCACCACACCAGCCTCTTTGTTATGCAGCGTGCAGGACCTGCATGCGTCTGCCTCTGGGCTTTGACAGGCTGTTCTCTCTACCTGGAATGCTTTTACTCCGAGATTACTGTGGTGTGTTCCCCTGCCTCTTCACTGCCTTTTCAATTGCAACTTCCAATATTCTTTACACTGATTTGTTTCTCTTTTAAGCACTAATCCCCACCCAACTCCAATATGTACCACTACTTAATTCATTTTGTCTGCTTGCCACAAATCATGATCATTGTGAGGATTTTCTCTTTTGCTCACTTCGGAGCCTCTGTCAACTACCACGGTGATGGACTGCCACCTAGCGCTCATGGGTGTTTAATAAATTTTGGTGAGCAAATGAATGGGTGAATGAGAGTGTTGGTTCAGGAGTAGGCTCAGACAGAAGCCTACTTTTATGAGGTAGGAGGAAACAGATCAGGAGGGGCAGGGGGCAAGTTGTGGGACAGGAAGTCAAAACCTTCCTGTGTCTTACCACCTGAGATGCGGGGAGAGGATGCGGTGAGGGAAATAGCAAGCATGTTCACCATCACAGGCATGTACTCTGTGTCTTGTACGAGGTGTCTCCACACCTTACCTCATTCCCTCACATCTGCTTAGAGATCCAGGCATCATTAACTCAATTTCTAGGTAAGGAAAACAGCTCCATAGAATTAAGGAAGCTGTCCTAGTTTGAAAGAGCACAATAAACAGGGGTCAACCAGGGACAAGCTGCAGATGCTTGAGGACCTGTGGTGCACCTGGGGCCTTGCAGATGGTTCAGGGAGGATCCAGAGACAGCAGAACATAAGGACAGGACCTGTGTACCTATGGGGAGCAAAAAGTCCAGGAGAGTGAGACTGTATGTTTTGGACCAATATTTTATATAAAAACTCTAATTTGTAGAATACAATAATTGCCACATGTGGTTGTACATACCTACAGTCCCAGCATTCAGGAGACTGAGGCAGGCAGATTTCCATGAGATTGAGACCACCCATAATGAGTTCAAGGTTAACTTGAATTATGTAGGGCAACCCTGTCGCAAAACACTAAATAAATAAATAGACTTCTAAAATATCTCTAAAAATATGTCTTCAATGTGCCTGCCTGACAAGCACAAGGTTGTGAGTTTAATCCTCATTACCATAATAATAATAATAATAGTAATAATATAATAAAAATAAATAAAATAATAATATCTTCGAAATCTAAAGGAAGATGGGAATTACTTTAAAAATGCAACATTAAAAATTAAAATCTAATTTTAGTAAGTTACTCATCACTTCTGTAATGTTACAGCTGTTTTACTTTTACTGGAGGCAAAGAAATTGAGAGGCAAAGTGGAGGGAACCAAACTATTATGCTACTAGAGGAGTTTAACACTCCAAAAGGCTAAACTCTGAGTCTGGATTAGGACAGCTGCTATCTAGGGCTTGTGGTAGCAAAAGGTAAGCAAACTAAGTTTTAGAGATGAGACAAAGGTCACAGGTATACAGCTCTACACACCAAGGTGACCTCAGCAGGTGAGCGAGTGAGATAACAGGATGCAGTGAAACTGTCTGATGTTAGCACACCTAGGTACAACTGGTATGGGAGGGTGCAGCTGGTATGGAGAGGGAGGGAAGCAGATAGGCTGCAGTCAGGGAATGTCCAGGTTGAAAAGTTAAATAGATTGAAAACTGGAACTATTATATTCACTACACAATGTCAAATGAATGACCAAGAGTTTGCTTAGACTGTGTTTTTTACATTAAAATGGATATGATGATGATGGTGGTGGTGATAATGATTATCAGTATTGGGGTGGAACCTGATGCTTTTGCATAGATGTGCATACCCCAAATCTTATTTATTCTGAGAGGGCATCTTGTAAAGCTGCTCGGTTGCCTAGACTGGGTCTGAATTTGTAACCTTCTTGACTTTGCCTCTGAGTTCTGTGATCACAGGTGTGTACCACAATGCCTGGATGACATTAAAATAAACTTTAGAATTCTTGCACTAAGGATAGCTTAGTGGTAAAGGTCTTGCTTAGACTGTATAAGGCTCTGAATTCAATAGCCAGAACTATAAAATAATAATCAAATATCTTAGAATTTACAAGAGATGCTGGGTAAGGTTGAACACAGGTCTGAAAAACCTTAGGAAGCTCCATGAGGTGAGAGACAGGGGATACAGGGATGTATAAGTGAAGATCCTGATCTGTGTAAAAGTGAGCAAGGCTCAGGGAAAAGTGTCAGGATAAAGCTGCCTGTTAAATGAAATCTTAGATTTAAAATAAACAAACAAAACCCTCAGTTTACTTACCATTTACTTTCTGGGTTTTTCTCCAGTCTGAACTAGAACAAAGAAATTCCTTGTGATAATAGGAGTTGAGGGGTAACAGTTCCTAACAAGTCCTGGCACTCCCTCCCATCCCAGTGGCTTACTTGGCTTCTGCTTTCAGTCAATCCAGTTAGTCTCTCTCTCTCTCTCTCTCTCTCTCTCTCTCTCTCTCTCTCTCTCTCTGTCTCTGTCTTTCTCTCAATTTTCTACTTATAAAATAGAGTGTTCAGTAGCACCTGTATAGATGAAAATGCTAGTATTCTGATTTGATCAGTGAACACTGTATATGTGCATTGAAATTTCAATGCACATATACACACTACACCCCATACACACAAGGTATGATAAAAATATGAGTATGTCAATTTAAAAATATTATAGCAAAATACACATTCCATTAATCCCCCTCAGAATATTCCCCTTACCTCAAACACACTTCTCTGGCTGTTTCTGCCACTTTCTGAATGAGGTCTAGGAATCGTCTTTCATAATTGTTTTTAGTTGTGCTGTCATGGCTCCCTGGATGTCATGAATTGACTCAAAATATGTGTCATGGTAATGTTGACTTTGGGGAAGAGCTTGAAGTCACACACAGACAGATCCGGTGAGTAAGTGTGTGAGGGGACATTGTAATGTTTTGGGGAGCCTACCTTTTTATTGGATGGCACTCAGCTGCATATTTTTGATCACTCCTCAGACTTCCACAACTGCTTCAGAAAGTGGCAGGAACAATAAAGTTAGTGTGTTTGAATCGAGGGACAGTTTTTTGGGGGTACTAATGCCAATGCATCTTTTTAAATTTAACTAGTAACTATTTTTGATCACCTCATATATACAAATATAACATGTTAATCAAGAAATTTTTAAAATTATGGAGCTGGGATGTAGCTGAAAATTTATGTACTTTCATAAGACATAAACCCAAACTGTATAGTTTGTATTTTTCATAAGTTGCTTCATAGGAGACAGAGACAAGGGCTGATGTCACTGCAAATGGACACATCTCCCCCTGGAGGATCCAGAGACGTCTGCACCCTGTTCAGATACTTGTAGCTGTTCTCTCCAGAACCCTACTTCTACTCTTTGAGTAGTGCACGCTCTAGATTGTAAACTTCATAGAGGAAGCGATTTTGTCTGTTTTTACCCACCGCTAATTCCCTGGACCCAAAGCAGAGAGTAGGAAGGATTGTCTGATAAAATATCCTGTGTTTTTATTTGCTACAGTGAACTACATGAAACATCTATGGAAAGAATTCACATCGATGGAAAGAATGAACGATTTTCTTCTTAGGAAACAAACAGAAAAAGCAAGACTTGGGTGTAAGAAAGTACTTAATGAAGACTTCCTGCTTCTGCAGCAAACACAGAGGCTGTAGTGGCTACAGCAGGAGGTGGGAGCAGATGGGACAGAGGGATCTGCTTGGCAAGGGTGGCTGCTGGGACATGAGAGAAGCTACAGGAGGTCCCTTCTACAGCAGGCCTTGAGCAGTACATTGTCCTGCTGCTGTAATTGTGTCCAACTGCCTAAAGCATACTGTCCCTGTGATGTTCTCTGATTTCCTCATTTTTCCAAAATAAACATGAATTGCTTTTAAAAACAGAAAATCCATAATTCCAATAATTTTATTCCAATAATTGGCTTTAAAGATTAATAGCTGATCCCAGGGAAAAACCTAGCAGCTGAGTAGACATAGGCAAGTTGCTTCCTGTCTGAACACCAATGGTTCCACTCCTCATTGAGGGGGTTGGGCCATAATGATTCATCGATTTCTTTAGTAGTGTTTGGGAAGCTTTTTTGTTAAATCATAAACTGTATAATTCAGAGCCTAGACATTTGATGTCTCATCTTCATGACTTACCAGTTTCTTCCCACATGCTTCTCAAAAAATGAGGCCGTTATAGGAGTGACAAGTAGCAGTGCCTTTCATCAGCTTACTGGCATCTGATCATTACCACTTAATTAAGAGGCTTGGATTAAGTATACTGAGCAGGTTTCCACATAGTCATGAACACATGTGTTAGTAAACACAGTGGCTACTTCCCGTGGATCTGCCACTGTATTCCACAGACATACACCTGGCAATGACTAGTGGCCTCTAGATATTCTAAAAATGACAGAGATAGCAGAAAAGCATCATGAGAATATTCTTACTTTGAGTTTGGGGCCTCTTTACTACCCTTTAACACTCTATTCAATGACATTTCCTTGTCCTTTCTAAAGAGTATCTTTAAGATTTTTTCTTCTGATTTTCTAGAGATTCCTACTGCATTGGACAAGGAAAATTATTGAAGTCCTTATGGAATCACTAGCCATCGACAAATTACTGAAGTCTCATTTTAGACTTGACAACAAAGTATTGCAATTTGGACTTTACTAAATCACCTTTCATGTCCAAAAGCCCCAACCTATTTATTTATTTATTCAAATTTCTAGACAAGGTCTTACTAATTAGTCCAGGTTGGCCTCAAATTTATAATCCTCCCGCCTCTTCCTCCCAAGTAGCTGGGATTATAGGTGTGTGTCACTATACCTAGTTCTTGCCGTTTCTCATTTTTTCCATTTTATGGTTTTTCTCCCACTTATCCCTCCATACTGATTCCAAGAGACAAGAGGACCAGAGCTCAGTTCATAAGGAGAGTTTCTTGTCTACTTGTATGAACCAGACACCGGTTGGGCAGAGATAAAACAGAAAAAGCAGACATAACTCCACACGTTCTTGTTCCATTCACTCACACCCACTTTGAAGGTTCTTGGTATTTCTCCTGCCCTACCATAGTCTATTTGTCCCATAAGGGTAACATGAAAGGAATAACATAGGTTTCTTCTTCCCATTCTCAGGTTTTCACTGTGATCATTGACTGTGACATGTTAGCTTGAGTGGAGTAAGAACTATCTAGAAGATCAGCAAATTCTGGGTGGATGATGGACATGTAGACCAAAACTGAAGGGGGAAGACTCACCCTGGATGTGGGTGGCACCAACCAATAGTCTTGTAACCTGGATGGAATAAAAGAAGGGGGAGGAAGGAAGGATTACCTTTTTCTTCAGAGGCGCTCCTATCTTTGCCATCAGCTTGAGATCTTGGTCTCCAGTTCCTTCAGGCTTCCAGTGCAGACGCCTCAACCTTGTCACACAGACTGAGTATTTGACTTTCTGACATAGCCTGGCACCTGTGACTCATCAGTGAACTTCCAGGCTTTCATCCTCAACTGCAGCTGGACCTTGCAGCTCTCTAATTCATAGGCTGCAATTCTGTATTTTTTTGTTTCTGATTCTCATAAATCCTTTGTATAATCACATATACTTTTTTTCATTGAATCTGTTCCTGCCGAGAATGCTAATACACTCTCACATAATGCTTGCCCACCTTCTCATTGTCCTTCTACTATCTTTGCTCTTGAACCTGTATCAAAAGGGCCAGGCCTGGGAGAGGTCAAGGGGGGAAGGCCCAAGCTGGTGTGGAGTGAGTACTGTTGCAGGTCAATCAGACGTCATCTCTGAGGTGGGAAAAAGCAAAAGCCATGGAGATGGTGAGGGCTGCAAAGAGGCAGGTATATGGAAGGAGCAGAAGCTGAAGCAGACAGATGCCCGAGAAGGGGACCCCATAGGTATAGGGAAGGCAAAACCCTGCCATAGAAATATTGTTGGCACTCAGGTAAGGCTGGAACCAGGTAAGGTTTTTTTTTTTTTTTTTTTTTTTTTGTCTTTTTCATTTTTACCGGTACCAGGGATCGAACTCACGACCGCCTGCTTGCAAGGCAGGTGCTTATGCCGCTGAGCTAAATCCCCAGCCCCTAGGTTTTCACAACCTTCCTTCTCCCAGTTCTGGGATAAGTTTATCGACCGTGAGCTTCTGGTTGTGTGCTGGGCACTGCTGGGAGCAGGCAGTGCAGGGAACAAACATTGTTCCTGCTGTTCAGAAATTCACAACCAAGTCATCAGGAAGTTCCGAGCACCTGACATGTACTATTTTGAGTGGTTTGTGCGAACGGATGTTTACACGTGTGAACTTCTGACTTTTACCACACCCTTGGACATGGGTGTTATCCTCTTCACCACTGTCCTTGCCATTGTTTTACAGATGAGGAATTGTGTTGGAAAGAGATGAAGCAACTTGTCACCTAAAATAGTAATAGTAGACTATGAATCAGCTGTTTGGGGGTAAGACAGAGTGATGAGATGGGGGTGAGACAGAGGGAAGTTGGCAAATACAGTGTAACCCAGGTAAACATGAATTTTGAGTGAATAATATGATTGCGAGTGTCTTCATACATAGAACAGATTTTAATGGGTGGCCTGTAGGGTTATTTGTTAAGTCTGGGGACCCATTCTGTGGGTCAGGTGTTTGCTTGTTCTGACTGTTGCCAGGCTGAGTATGGAGAAGGTAAGGCTGGATGGGTAGGCATGGGCAGGTGCCAGAGGGCCAGAGATGCTTCACTGAGCACTCTGTACTGTATTCTCACGGAAAGATTGAAAGAGTGGGGATTTGATGGCCAGATTGAATGTGTGATTAAGAAGTTCTTACTCAGGACAATAAGGAATAAGATTTAGAGGAGATTAGTAACTTTCCGACAGTTCAGGGGAGACTTGGATAGAAGTGAGAATAAATGTGGCACATCTAACAGTCAAGAAAAAGAAGAAAACAGGGCCACCTTGCAGGCGCCTGCTCCATTAGGTTGCACAGGACACCCTCAGAAAGATGGGCTTGGGCATGATCTAGTGTCCTGCTCTTGTAGTCATTAATTTCTTAGTGATTTTATCTTTGAATTTCTATTCCATAAGAGTCATCCAGTAGGATAACAGGGTCTGCTGAGTAAGGCAGGAGACCTGCACAGCCTGCGCTGTGAGCAGGCACATTGCTGAATTCCAGCAGAGTTCAAGCAAATATGCACTCAGTAAGCGGGTTACGGAGATCTACCACCAGGGTGCACTGTCTTATCATTAGCATGGATCAGGATGATGACGATGATAATGATGATGGATCTCACTCTGTAGCCAAGCTGATCTCAAACTTGGAGCGATTGTCCTGGGTCGGCATCCTGGGTGCTAGGGTTACAAGTGTGCCCAACTGTGCCTACATGAGGATGATTTTTTTGTTTCTTCAATTGGGTTTTATTGGTGCATATTAGTTATACATAATTATCACATTTGTCATATTGAATTTATACCTGTATATGATATAATTTCTTTTTTTTTTTCATTGCCCTACCCTCCTTTCAACTCCTCTTCTCCTACCTATTTACAAAAATTGTGTTTCCATTTCTTTCCTTCTTTTCTCCTGGTTTTTTGCTTTGTTTTGTTTTACTTTTCCTTTCTTTCCTTTCCCCTCTCCCATACCTTGTCCCTGAGCATAATTATTTTGGCTAGGTTTTGTATTCCTCATTTGAGGGATCAAGGCAGTGTTAATCATCTGAACACAAAATGTAATGAAGTCAGTATTAAGCCCAAAGAATGACTCAGATCAAAGAGAATCCCAGATAATGTTTTCAACTTGCTTACTTCAGAGAATAGCCTAAGCATACTTAATGATTCTGATAGCCTTTTATTCCACACTGGTAATAAAAGGCTTCAGAGGCAATGTGAAAGAAGTGGAGCAAATGAATTTCTAAATCAGACATTATGCTTATAACTTCTCTTCCCCCAAATCAGTAGCTTGTGCACCTAAACTCTATCTTTCTGACATTAATGACTGCTTCACGTGCACAAATATGAGACAAATGAGGGCTCTGTATTGCAGTTTATCTGGTGAGACAGAGTCAAAGGTCTGCAGGCCTTGGACATAACCCATCGCAAGAAGAAACGATATCATGAAGTGGGACTTCTTGAACTGCACAGATGGGCTTCAGGCCGAGTCTCTTTTTGCAGCAAAAAGAGATGGAGTTTAAAGGTATGCACCAATCTGGGAGATGCCTGAGCCTTTACAAGTGCTCTGATTTCCTCTGTCCACTGGAAATCACTTTCCCTGGAGCTGAGTCTCATATTGCTGGAGAAGGCTGCTGAACCAAAGAACCATACCTGATGCAGATATGAATATCTGTAGAAAGGATCAGTGAATGGTGTGTTTCTCTTTCCAAATGAATGCTTAATGTTTAATGGCCTATTTTTTATGAGTCAACACCATATTAAAAAGATGATCACATTATCTTTATGTATTTAAAACTTTTTTGTTGTTTTGTTTCTGAGACAGGGTCTTTCTTGTTTTGATCTTTTTCCTTTTTATTGGTACTGGGGATTGAACTCACAAATGCCTGCTTGCAGAGGAGTTGCTTATGCCACTGAACTAAACCCCCAGCCCCAACAGAGCCTTTCTTTGTAGTGCAGGTTGGTCTTGGACTCACAACACCCTCCTGTCTCTGTCTCCCAAGTGCTTAGATTACAGATATGCACCATGATGCTGTTTAAAGTTTTTAAATTATACTTTCATTAGTGACTATTCAGTCACTAAATGTTGGATTTCAATATGCAATTTTCATAATGTTAAATTTTTTATTATGACCATTTTCAACTGACACAGTCCATGGGTGAAAAGGTGTATTTATTAGTTTGATTTAGCCATTGTACAACACGTGCATATTTTAA